GAGGATTCCATCGCGGGCACGACCTTGGGTAGGCGAAGTTTCAATTTTTCGGCGTATGACACTTTATTGTCCTGGTTGTTAACTACTTGGCTAGTTTGGAGAAGTGAGGGTGACGATTTCATTCTTTCCAATTCGCGCTCTGTGTTTGACAGTTTAGTTTCGGTGCAAGAGGACTTTACCGCTAGTATCGCGACAATACCGGTGACTCGCTGAGTCAGTTCCATAATGATCGATTTACTTGACGTGGTCAGGCGGGACTCAATCACAACCTCATTTATTTTGGACAGCAACGTCGATGCCTCGGTCATTAATTCTACATGGTCGGCATCACTATTACTAGATGCGGATGGGGATGGAATTGGCGAACCACATTGGAGACGCTTTGACCTGTCATCATCAGGCGTCGCGTACGCAGGCGACATTTCACTAAAAAGTCGCTTCGAGCTAGTGGAGGGTGGCGACCGCGGAGTCATCTGACTTTTACGGAACCCACCGCGATCCGGTGGGTCACTTCGCGATGCCATTGTGTAATGAATTTAGTTCTTATCTTTAAATTCTCTCGAGCAACACGAAAACAAAGTAAAAGCAAAAAAAAAGTAATATATGAATCACACGAATTTATAATCCGCTACCCGCAACAAAAGAAATAAATTGACTTACCGAAAATCTGATGAATATTACTTAAATTAGTGGATTAATCCCGTTAATTACCCACGTATACCACACTCAGACACAGGGAACACAACAAAAAAAGCCACACGAACCGGAACAGATCACGTAAACAGCAAAAAATAATAATAATAGAACAGCGATAAAAACACCACTGCACCGTGCGCGCGCGCGGAGGGAAGAGATGAGAATGTGATGTGTTTGTAAGAAAATAAAAAGTACGTGTCTAATGATTTATAATAATCTACCAGATGGACATTAAAATATTAGGCATCTACCCTATTTCCCCCCCCCTAAAAAAAAACATCTTTGCTACAACACTAAAAAATGGAACATAATTTCATTTTATCACTGTATTCATTCACAAAGTTAAAACCGCGACTTAAACAAAAGCCAAGCTTTGTCCGAAAGAGAAAGGGGTTCGGTATAGTCTAATTTGAGATTTTGTCAAAACACAATGGGTTCTGTCGTTGCGCAGTGCGACGCAATAATTTGGCCACCCTCAGAACAAGCGGAATCTTAGGTACTGCGTATTTTAATAAGTAATATCCATGGCCCTAAGAAGTTATTTCTTTGAAATGTATAATGATGTAAGGTGTGAATTGAATAGGTTAGTTGCCAGGGAATGAAAATTATAAATCTAATTAGTCCGTCAGTTCGATAATGAAAAAATATCAGACACGTATTTTTTACTTTCTCGTATAAAGTTACAATACTTAGATAAAATGGAGTTTAGGAGTGGGAGGCGCATTGTGACGTCACACGATATTTCAGATTAATAGGTATATCGTCGAAAGAATTTAATTTTGTAAGAAAAGAACAAATACGTGTCTAATGTTTTAAATTAATCTACCAGACGGACATTAAAATAAAATTTAGGCAACTACCCTATTACATCGGAATTTGAATGAGACTTTTCTTAATTAAATGTAATCAGTAATTACACCAGCATCGCTTGATTTGACATTAAGATTTTTTCTAAGTAATATCATTCATTTTAACCATAGAAAGCCATAAGAAGAGACAAGTGAAAAGAGGGTGGCAATGGCCTCCCTCCTCCCTGGCCTCTGCCCTGCAGTGGGATCACCATGACAAAAAATTAAATAAATGAATTCTTAAAATAAATATTTCATTTAAGAGATAACTAAGCTAGTTCATGTACTAAACTATGACGTCACAGTTTAGTAATTTCGTACAAAATTCATAGAAAGTTATCGTTGCCAATATGGCTGGCTGGATTCACCTCCATTCTGCATAAAATCTTCGACAAACTTGGGAAGTCAGCCACAAAAGATGAACTTGCATACTTACGTACAATCATGTGAGAACTTGATTAGTAGAAGCGGTTTTAATGGCCACATAGTCATTTTGCCAGCAGGAAGTTTCGAATAAATCAGTCAATATGTGTGTAATATTATTTATTATTGAATCAAAATTGACAGTGTATTGATCCGTTCGGCCCCGAAATTGGCTGTAAAGTTTATGTATATTAACTTGGAGTTACTTTGTTATTGCTTCATTGTGTGTGTATGCTATTTTGCATACTTGGAGAGAAGATTGTGAGTTTGTTTTCAATAACAAACAGTTTATTACAAATATAATAAATAGACAGGATTTTCTTTTTAAATTCTGTGTAAGGAATGCATAAAATATAATATATTGTGTTCCTTGTTCCTATTCTGTTTTCTACTACAACTCGAGGTTCTAGAACAAAAACCGTAGTTTACAAATGAGCATAAAGCTGTTACTTTTTTCACCACCGAATAGTACCTTACGAACTCAACTATAGATATTATATTGGCACCAGCACGTCAAACTGCCCGAAACTAACAAAACTGTTTAACAGAATTTTAACTTTATTACCACTTGCAAGCCTTGAAATTCCATTGAAGAAATATCCTAAAATATAAACATCAATCACTACGTCACTTTTCACAAAGCTACTGGTTTCCTTATAAAAAACTGCTCCTGGATTTTCAACGTGTTTTCATAGTGAGCCTCTAGTTTTTGTTAAAAATTCTATTGTATTGGTTTCCGAATAGTCTGTTGATTGGGAGCTCTGAAGTTATACCGGAGAATTAGCATTGTTGTCGACCAAAGCAATAAAAGAAACTTGACGATTGTAAGTACGTAGCTCTTTTGTTAAGTCGTAACTGAATATGGTTTTCGACATGGTAATAGTCTATTATCTACTGAACTATGGGCCTCCTCTACATAAGAGTGTTTTTCATGATCTTCACGCTGGACCACCTTAGACATTGCAGTTTGAAAGGTTTGGGTTTATAAGAGAGCGGCTGTTGGCCGATCTTTGTCTAATGTGTAGTCGCTTAGTCGGTTACGACTCCCACAAGCGAGAAAATAATGGTGCTAGTTAGATTTTCTCCTGTGTCGTGGGTGCGTTTACAAACATACAAGTTCACAAACACAGGACATCCAGACCTGAAACAACAATTTTTGGAACACGCGAAGTTTTGCTCCGTGCGGGATTCGAAACCACGACACGCTGCTCAGCAGCCGGTTGCCCAACCGTGCCGTATAAAGGTGGTATACAAATATATTCCAATCTGACATTACGACATGGTATTTAATACTTCTTGGTCAATAGCATACCTAAACCTATTTTCTGTCATATGCATTTCAATGTAAGTACCTAAGTGACAAGCGAAAACTGAACGCGAACTACATACAAAAACAAGTAAACATTCAATGAACGAAACAGCTCACAGATTCTGAAAATGTTTTCAATAAATTGAAACATCGAGGAGTCGAGCTGCCGAGTCACCGGAAATATCGAAGTTGGACGATTACATCGTACGAACGAAAAATACATGTTTCCATTTCATTTCTTACTCTTTTACGTTTTATTTTAAACGTAACTTAGCCAGTAATGGTAACATTATAGTTCACTCTCATATTCTTGAATAAGTCCGGGAGACTAGTTAAGTGCTTAGGCGTATTAAAGTAGTTCCCACTGGATTGTAAGTTGTGTGGCTCTGTAATTGGGAACTTTTATCATTTTATGATCATGAATTTAAAAGCATTCTTTATTTAGGACAAATCTATAGAAATAAACAAAATCCAAAAGCAATCATGTACGTATTTGGCAAGGCACTGCCCAAATCCACATAAATATTTTTTTATTTAGCCACAACGAACGCTAGATTAATGGTATTAAAAAATTACTCTGAGCCATAAGTATCTTCCCACTGCATAGACATAGAGCTCTAAAATCAGTAATGAACTAATAAGCTACAGTTTTTTCCATCCGCTAATCGGTTTATATTTATTTATTAGTGAAATCTTTGAACTAGACATTAATAGAAAATCCAACTAGGCAGTTTTAGAGCCAAATCTACATTTAAAATAGTGACACAATATCGTGGACCAAGCCAGAAATAACTTCGAATATATTCATACGACCCGACTGTTTGACTCCACACTAAATTCATGCACGGTCAAAGTTTGTTTTATTTGTGGTGTTAGCACTATCTCTAGGGATGTGCTCTATCGCACTATCGCTCTATTTCAATCGAGCAATCGATGGCAAAACATTATTGCTCGAATTTGTTTTTAGTTTTATGTGTATTGTCGAGTCAGAGGGACGTACACAGACAGTCGTTTTTTTATACTTGGTTTTATGGACTTTTTAAAAAAACAAGTGTGGGTTTCATGAAAAGCTTTTGACGCATAGCCCAGTAGTGAACTGTTACAAGCTGTTGATTATTCAGTAGTCATCTTAATGATCAGTTAACGAACTAAGGAGTAAAATACTGGATTTTACTCCCAACACTAATCAAACATTGTGATCGATTTTGCATAAAACCGCCAGTAAACGTAACGGTTTCATAGTGACACGACATTTTATAACAAACCAAATTGAAAAGACATTCTCAAGGGTGGGTTGCCTTTTACGATTACGATTTTTGGCATAAAGATGGACTGTATGCATGCTTTGCTGAAACGATCAACGTTGTACGTACATGTTTTTTTTCTTGAGGTAAACGAAAGGGTTTGCGATATCAATAAAGAATTAAAAGACTGCTGAATGGTAACTTTTATGATTCTACAGACCTATTTAGAGGTGTATCTGATTGTGGTTTTGTCAGTAACCAAAACAATTGCTGAAAATTATGTGGAAACGAAATTAAGTAACACGGAATCTTCATTACTGATAGCCAGTTTAAACCACTGTTCTTAAGAAACATGATCTTTCTCTAAACATGACAATATGCCGTATTATTCCTGCAATTTATGAAGTCAAACTGCAAGAGATGTCTTACTTCGTTTAAAGTTTATTCACTGATCTAATTCACAACTTTCTTCTACCACAGCAACATGGGTGAACCGGTGCAGCGAAGACTTGGAATGCCTGGACTTGGAAGACGAGCAGCCCCTTGCCCAGCTCAGTTCCATGCAAACAGACAAGATGACCCTCTTCTTCACCGAGTTACTGGACCACGACCGAGATGACGTTATCATAGACACAGACTTCGACCAATTCTTCGAGGTAGGAAGGTATCAACATTGTGGTATCGTTAACTTCAAGATTGTGTTGTTGTAATGAACGTTATCTATACTTATACTAAGTCTTCTTGACTTAGATTTTAGATTGGTACTCCACTAGATACCTAGCACCTACATTCTACTAGCATTACTAGCAACAAAAGTCATTTTGATCTACATTGTGTCTTAAAAGTATCCTGCTAAAATTATTCAGATGTTCTAGTTTGTTTGATGACTTATTGAAGCCTGTAGGACGTAGGTGTATTTCCTCCAAAAACTCAAAAGCACTTCAAACAGCTCCATGTCAAAACGAACCGCTAACAAAAATACATTTGTAATTTTAGCATGAAAAATAACTTTAATGAATACTAACTTCGAAAGTAAATGACGCCGACGTCATCAAGAATTCATTGAATTACCCACTTCTTAATTGACTCAATCGTACTCAGAAACGTCCTAAATATAAACAAGGCTGACTTTAAATATAATTAACTTAACACAGTTTAAATAACTCAGTTAAAACTTCAACGGAATTAAATAACGAAGTTATATCTTAAAAGCCCTCGAGTTCCAGTGTAGTCAACATAACTGGAGGCGAGAAACTGTCGAGTTTCACCTGTAAATAGACCGGCAGGCAAATGTAACAAATTAAGCTTCTAAAACTCAACATTAAGTCATTTCAACCTCACATAACTAACGTTTGAATAATGAAAGAGAATAATTAAATTCGTTTCTCGTCATAATTCACAGCGGTTGGCGCATTTTGCGGACTGGTCGCCTAACTCATCCGAGTTCCACATACTGCTTGAAGTAAAGCGTGAATTTATAGACCACTTCATCAATCCGTTACCAGCCAAGTAAGTCCGTCTGTTTGTCACATGTGTTTGTTCGTGTAACTTTTTATTTTTTTAAAGTTCCTACTTTATTTTGGGGACTACTTCTTAACATGGGTTGTTGCGTTCCTACCTTAGTTGCTTTAGCTAAGAATCCCTTGTTTCATTTGCAAGCTTTTATTAGTTATCTCCTCTAGTATTTTCACAAAAGTAACAACATCGTTTTGCGTATAACTACCCAGAATGAAATGCAAATAAAGGTAGTTAACCTAAAATATACGCAACAGACACGTGCTGCCGCCATCATTCAGTACTACGATATCCCATAAAAATGAATATCAGCCGGTCGCTGACATTTCATGAAAGTGTCCCAAAAATATGAGCACTTTGTAATGTAATATGCAATCCTGTAGGCTGTATATTTTCGTAGCCGACATTTTCATGAAAAAATCGTCCATTTTATGATATAATAGCGTTCCGCCGGTTTCGCTTTGCTGGGACAAAATTGTGCTATGTGCTGTGGCAATATATTAACATAGTTCAGCCTATAGATATGTGTCCTCTATATCTTAATTACTTCAATAATTTTAAGAAAGCGTAACAAATATTGATCCATATAAAAACATTACCTATTTTATTTATCCTTACAATAATGTGGCAGTGGAGGTAGAATTTAGTTCTAGCACTAAGCTAATGGAAGAAAGTAAAAAGTTTACACAAAGAAAAGGATGCGAACTACAGAGCGAGTCGCGACTGAGGAAATATCACCATAGCGGAGCGGCATCCGTTTTCTAAGTCACGTGCTTAAGTTTCTTTCGTTATTAAATTCCCTACCGTATGCTCTCGCCAAACTTCATGCTTTATTGAATGTTACGTACAAAAAATATGCGAGAAAATACAAACATCCAGGTGCTTTATTTCGTAAACATTTGCAAATAAACTTTTACCTTTTTGCTTTTCTTTCGCAATATTTAAATTCCAATCTTTTGCCAGATGGGGTGATCTGCCGTATTATAGAAAGGTGTGTGGCCCCGAAGCGAGCGGGATCAACATGCCAGGCAGGACCACTCTGGACGGCTGGCTGGCTCGGTGGGCGCTACACCTCAGTGAGATGAAACGGTTCACAGACCTCCCTCTGTATCTGCAGTACCTCTGCAAGATACTTTTCCACGTGATTGATAGGACAAGTAAGTTTATTTTAATTCTTCGTTCTTGTCGATTTCATTGATTCTCCTGTTAATCGCTAATCGTCTACATACCTACATAGGCTCGTATAATCTTCTACTTCATTATTTCACAAATCACAACCCAAGTTAAACGTACTAAGAATCATCGTAGAATCGTAGCAGTCTTTCATGAAGCCTTTCTAAATGAGTTAACTTAACAAAGCAAATAATAAACACTTCTAGAAACTGTCACGACATAAACACATTTCAAGACAGTCACAGAAGCCCACACGACTTCATTTATTCATACTCGACCGCCTAACTTTCCAGACTAAAGTACGAGTGGGTACTAAGGTAACTTCTCACTGCCAAAACCAGCTTAAAAGTCCGTAGTTATTGTTACCCTAAAAAATCTCATTTTCCGCTCAATTCTGTGAGCAAACTTCGCTCTGTTTACGGTAATAGAGAGGTACCAGTGACGTGTGTCAATTCCCGGGATCGGTTGATAGACGGGATTAATTTGACGCGGGCGAGTTCCCGCGGCTGATATCACCCCCCTAGGCCCCTGAATCACGTTAATTGTTCTACATGAAATTTCCTCTGCACCATAGACATCCAGCTCCAATTTATGACTAATTTAAAGTTAATTATTATCGCAATTTAGCTGGAATGTTTGTAAAATGATACTGATACTGCATTGCTGCTAAAATTCTCTGGCAAAATATGTTATCAAGTGATACTTATTGAAGAAATCCAAAATGTATGAGCAGAAAATAAAGATGAAGGTAATAAATTCTGGTTCGATGTGTATGTTAAAAATATGTTCACGTTTTAAAACATCGTAAGTAGGCAAAAACTAAATCAAATTGACAATGTTAGGTTGTTCTTTTGGCCTAAATATTTGGCACCTCAGTCGAAGATTTTAGCCAAAATCACAGCGGGTGTACACTGAAGCGAAAAGCTCTTTTGGCACATTTACTCCTATCGTCTGTCTACGACTTTATTTTAACTTTTTATACAAAGTAAACACGACTTATCCTCGCTGTTGCACGAATGAATTTATTGAAAAAATTCTGTATCAATATTTTAATATTACGTGACCTATATATTTTATTTAACATTATCAAATGCGCTCTAGTTAAGTCCTTTTTTAGCTGTCTTTTATTCAGTACTACAAATACAGAAACCGCTACTAAATTATAGGTACTCATCAGCATCATTAGTACCTAATTTTAAGGTTGCAAAATTAATTGGTACCTACTTCTTTGACTCACAGAAATATCTCATACTCTTCAATCAAAAGATACATTTCACTAAAACTACTGCGATGGTGGATTTTACTAAGAATATTTATTTCTTACCATACACAAGATAAAAACGGGCCCATGGCGTAGTTTTTTCCGGAATTGCTATATTCTGTCATGTTGATTCAGAAAGCCAAGACGATTTATCATGAAGCTGCTACCAAGGTGAACGATCTCATTTGGTTTAGTAACATCGTCGTATTTTACCAATACGTGGTAAAAGCTAAGCATAATCTCGTACGTCACGATGATGGATTCGAAACATAACAATTTGTAACACAATATAAATATGTCGGTAAAAAATCATCAAGTTTACGTACCTCAGGCACCTTGTGGCCTGGCTCCTTTAGGTCATCATCATCATCAACAGCCTATAACTGCCCACTGCTGAGCAAAACCTCTTCTCACACGGAGAAGGTAATACTCAAACACCACGCTTGCTCAATGCGGGTTGGCGATTACAAACTTATAATTAGAAATTATAAGCCCAGGTTTCCTCACGATGTTTTCCTTTACCGTTTGTCAGTGGTGTCTAGATAATCTTAGAAAGTACATATAACTCAGAAAAAGTCACATTGGTACCTACTTGCCGTTGGTAGGTTTCGAACTCGCACCCTCATGCATGAGAAGCGGGCGTCTTAAACCTCCGGGCCACCAAGACCTTAATATACGTTAATAGACATTTAGGTAGTAAATACCAAAGTTTATGCTAATACAACCTATAAATTGAATTCCCAAACCATCCAAAATTATATTTCCAAAGGAAGCCTACCCCTACATTTGGATCAGTGCCCGCTAAAATATCAATAGGCTCGCGGCGTCCCACGGTATCCAATCCCGGAAATGTCGAACGCGGGTGTACCAATAAATCTTTCCACCTCTTCAGGGAATTCAGGCCTATACAGCTATTAAAGTATGTGTTTTTACTTGCAGATACAGGTGCTATAACCAAACCAGCGCTGGGCGCCTTTTACCGGTCGGTGATCGGGCTGAATGCGGCGCGAGTTGACGAGATTATAGACACGGCATACGATCGCATGACTAGCGTAAGTTATCTACATTCTTCATTGTTACAACACTCGCGTAAGCAAGCATAGCATGAATATATGAACGAGAATTTCACAGCGCATAAAGTTTGCTACAAAATATTCACAACTTTACCATAATTCTATAGAGTTAGTTTTCTATTATCATAGAGTTGAAATGGTTGAGTTATTTTGTTCTAAATTTGAAAACTTTTCAATTTGAAAATTAGTTCTGTAATAGAATTTAAAACGGGACTGTCTGGCGAGCAAGAGTTTCTACTAAATTACGTGTGACCTAGTACTGCAGGTCATTTACTGAGTAATGTGAATTTGAAAGTAGTTTTATGAATACTTTAGCAACATTATTCGCGTTACCTAGGCTCCCTAATTACTTGGGTATTTAGCAAGACTTGGGAACTAATTTGCTTATTTCATTTCAACAGAATGGTTACTTAATACTGGACTACGGGACTTACGTACACTGCTTCACAAACTGGCTGATGGGCAAGAACCCCAATGGGCCAGGCCAGTGGGTCCTAGTTCCTCCAAAGGACTCACTGCCTCAGCCTCCGTTCCCCGTTGACTACAGCGCCCTCAACACGGAGCCTGCGAAGCTAGAACCCTATGCACCAGACAAGAAGACAAACAGACATTCAGTCATCGTCTGAAGACTAAGAATATTTGCCCTAAAAAGTCAATTCTACACGTGTTCCAATTTTGGTATATTGTGGAACACTCGACTGCGTACTAGATCTAAAAATTGATCTGATGTGTCCTCAGCATCGTTCGTAGATTGAGAAGACCTGCCATTGTGAAAGTAGTTCTGTCAAAAACCTAGGAATTGATGCACTACGCTTTTTGTAAAGGACTATAAATGTGTAAATCCCATTCCGGTCAACTGAACAGTGAACATTGTACCTATAATGCTAGACTAATGTAAATTAGATTTCTCGTCTAACGATAAACAATATGCAGTAGGTACAGTACTTATCCTGGACCGATAACAATGTATAAACCTAATCCTAATGGAAATTGATGTGTGCAATTATCTACCTAATTAGATTACACCTTCGTATGTTTTATTGGATGATTTTGCGAAGACTTTTAGCTAAATTACGTTCAGATAAGCCCTTATTTGTACGGCTTTTTGATATAGGACTAAGTTACTAGAATTCTTCGTAAAATAACCGTACAAAGAAAATTTATTAGTTACATAAGTCTCTCTGTAACTGCCTTAAACCTAATGATTTACTTTGTACCTACTAGATTTGCTTGAAGATAAAACGAATGCTTTACGTAACGTGTTAAACGTGCAATTCGACCAATTCTTGTCTCTTATATTATTAGATCTTGATGTAAGTCGTTGTAAATAGTAGTAATTAATGATGCACGGTATGCAAGAACTGCCTTAAAATAAGCATATTCACATCTCACGACATAGCCTTATTTTATACCCTAGATGTACTTAATTGTAAGTAGGTATTGTGTAAGTTACTTAAATATACTAGATATCTACACTTTGATTCACTGAAATAAACCCTTTCGTTTGTTTATATGATTGTTCTATTTATTTGTGTTGAAAGTCCCTCTATTAATCCTAGACCATGCCTAATTATACCCATGTCATCAAACGTTTGAATAAATTAAGGCCCTTTTTAGCTTGTATCTTGGCACATATTGTGACATCGATCCACCAAATGTTTTCTGTGTATAAACATAATTATGGTATCACTTATCTAAACTTTCTACTCAAATGCTTTAATTGTGACAAACCGAGTTCGTGACCGCGGAAGCAATTAATTCGTTCATTTATAAACATGAGAAAACATGTTGTAGTCTCAGGAACAGAAGGTCTTTTAAAAGCTCGGTATGATTGATGGCGGGTTGAAAAGATTGTAGCGAGGACCGCGCGTCCCGGCTGCGCCACTGCTGCCGAGGGGTCCGCATCGCGGTTTCGTTTTGGACGTTTTCGCAAATTATCATTAATCATCCTATGCTTTGACAAATTCCGTAACTACCTCTTCTTTTTTTCTTTCCCTTATTTGCCAAAAAACCGTTTTCAAAGGACAAGAAACCTTTTAAAAAAATTGGGGTAATAGGTAGGTCCCATCACATCATATCTGAAATGTAAATCTTTCGACGTCAAGCTAAAATAGTTCACCTAAATTAAATGAAGACATGAAACTTTTACCCGAAATAAAATTCGCAGTTCGCTTCATTCGGTTTTTTCCAAAGCATTCGTTTTGAATGGAGGAATGGAGCGAATCTGATGCAAATGAAATGGTATGAAGCAAAGTGTTGTGTTCATTAATCATGGATTCTAAACATCTTTCATTTCTGAAAAAAAAATTATGATAATGTAGGGTAACGAAGAAATTGCATTTTCCTCGGTAAAATACGTAAAAAACATTTAATTATTTAGTTAATCCAACTCTCGAGATTCAGCAAAGTAGTTTATTCAATCACCAAATTAACAAATTCAACTTAGTAACAACCGAAATGCATCTAAAATCTTTTTACAGTTTCTGTCATAATCAGGGCCAATCTTTATTAGTCGATTAAAAAAGTGACAGCTAAAGATTGTAAAGAAAAGCCCCGCGTCTACTTTCCCGCGCTTTTATATTCGATCTGTCAACAGCTTGGCCATTTTCACAACAAGTACGACGATGCGGCATTTGCGAGTCATTAGCAAACTGTTAAAAAAGTTAACGCTATAAAGTGAGGCCATCGCAATTATAGGATCGTCAGCTCGCTCATCGCTCCTGATATTGTTTCCTCGACTCAGTAATAGCATCATTAAACGCGAGCGGGCCATTTTTCCTCTGCAATATACTGCCATGATAAATGGAGCGCAATATAATCGATGTTTGTAAGGAAACAACGCTTGCAGGTTTTTTGTGAAACAACAACATATGTGGGAAATGCCTATGTCGGAGAAAGCTGTATCAAAACGGTTTTTACGTTATTATAATTGGAACGGAAAAGGGCTTACTTGTTCATTGGATGGAATATTGTTCGCAGTCAAACCGTTTTTTGCAAAACGTATCTTGTTTTCTATCCTCGAAAAGGTGCGGTCTTTGTTTTATTTTTTTTATGCTCCTGCTCCCGCCTGGGTGCGGCGGGAGGGAGTGTCAGACTCTTACTGACTAAAAACCACCCCGTTCCTACTCCTACACTTCGAACCGTAGCCCCGATAACCCATTAGGTTCTCCGCGGCTCCGTATCGGCATTAGCCCTATTGGGCCCCATCCGTGGTGGTCTGATGGCTCTTTGAGGCGCGCGCGGAACGCGACGCGACGTACGCTCGGGTCTGGTTCTGGTCGGACGGCGAGCTACCCATTCTTGCCGTCCGAAAGGTACGGTCGTAGGTTTTAGATTTAGATCCCGTTGTACCTAACAAAAACAAATCTTTTCTACTTGTGACCATTCGAACACTCGATCATCATGGTGTCGATATGTCCTAACTAATTCCTATATCAGTTAAGTATAACTTATGCTTGAAACAGTTCCATAATGGATACATACCCAAACCCACTAGATAATAAATCTCGACTATTTAGTACAAAGGAACCACGGGAACAAAGCCTTGGGGCCATAGATGAGCTGGGTTCAACATTAAATAATGACGACCATTATTTGATTCGATAAATTCTTTATTACGTGGTTTCATTACAAATTATACTCTGCTTAATCTGCAAACATTATTGATTCAGATAATTAATCAATCAATGGAATGTTCAACTTATTCTTAGGACCTCTTTCATCTTCTTAACAATAGTCTCGTCAGTAACAAATATATGCTCACTATCACTCGTACCCATACTTAATCCATTCTTAATCTGCGGCAAATATCTATTCGTTTGCATGAACTGTGAACTATTTTACAGCCAATATCAATAAAGTTCTTTGCATTCTCAACAGTCACGCCGGCTCCTGGCATAATCTCTATTTTATCACCAAAAGTACTGCTAAGTACCTTTAGAAGTTGAACAGCTTGGATATCATTAGCAGACGCCTTTTGCCCGCTCGTCAGCAGTCTACTAAAACGTAATGCAGCTATTTTATTGACTGCAGAAAGAGGGTCTGTGCAGACGTCGAAGGCTCTATGGAACGTAAGGGGGATATCACCCGCCTTATTTCTTATTTTTTCGCAGTTCTTCTCATCTATGTCCTGAGAGCCTGTAAGTGCCCCAAAAACAAATCTGTCCACACCATATGCTTTGAAAACTTCGACATCAGATAACATCGTATCCATCTCCTGTTCCGAATAATGAAAGTCGGAGCCCGTACGGCATCTGATCATTACATTCACTTTTGCCCTCTGTAAAAATAAACAAAGACTGTGAGTGGTAAATAAATAGGTTCTTGTATGAACGCACTCCATTTATCAAGTGGCCGTACCTTCGTTAATTTATCGCAACCGCAATCGTGACATGATTTACGGATTGGTTTCCCGGCTGCTGTATTATTCACCTAAAAATATAATATAGCAGTAGCCATATCGTTATCGTTATCAAGTCAAGAATAAAATAAAAAATATTTAAAGCTATTTGTCAAACAATAAAGGAATTACCATTTCTACTATTTCCTTGACCAAACCTGGTGATGGGGTAAGGCCGCCCTCAGTGAGAGAACTACATACTTCTATCTCGTCGGCGCCACCATGGATTGCGTTTATCGCCGATTCTAAACTGTCTATGCAAACCTCTAACATGGTCTGTGAAGGAAATATTATTATGTCTTTTAAAAATCATCAAAATTATAAATAATGCGTACATAAAATACTGCTATTGTCCATGTAGGGTAGGTTGTATAAATAGGTAGGCTTGTAAAAGATCTACCCACCCGGCAAATGGGTAATAGGGTAACAGCACCCGTAGTCAGCCTTTTAATGGATATTGAGATTTGGATAGTATTAACCATATTATTATGATTATTAAAACATTGTTTTAAACAATAACAAAAGTTATGACACACAAAAGGGAGTTTTATCTAGTACTCTGCCACTAAAATCTAGTAGTCTCAAGCAACATCGAAGTAAGATTAACTTTACTTTGTTATATAATTTTTTTTCTGCTAATGATGCATATAGGATTCCTATTACAAAAAAAAAATAAGAATGTTATGTTATCGAAGTAATTTTGAGCACATTTTTACAGATAGTATCAAATACTAATTTAGTGATAGGGGATATAGTTGCACACTGGCGAGGCAACATAAATGACTCCAGAATATTCAGTCTCGATTAAAACAAAGATTTCAAGGACAAGAATTCAAAGGAAAAATATTGGGAGAGGCTCAGGCTATGCCTGTAGGTGTCGCGGAGAACCTAACGGGTTACCGGGGCTCCGGCTCGATGTGCAGGAGAAGGAACGAGGTGGTTTTAAGTCAGTAAGAGTCTGACACTCCCTCCCGACTCACCCAGGCGGGAGCAGTCATTCGATGATTTTCCCCCTAAAATAAAAAAAAATGCCTGCCTCTACCTATTTACCTTTCTCCAATATTGCATCCAGCAACAAACAATGGCGAAATGTACGAATACCTACATACTCGTAGTAATGTTGAAAGTAATTTTGAAGTATTCAGCAGCAGCGATTTCGCTGTCTTAGACGGTTCACAACCAAGTTGGATAACATTAAACTGAATATTGTTGCATTGGCAATATTGCAATACTCAGACAAAACTTCAATGAAAGATTAGATATACCTCTACAGGATATTGAAGACAGTGATGCATTCTTTAAACAATTCCCTCAGAGGCAAATAATTGAAAAGCAGAATCATTTTATCGCAGAAAGATCGCAATCAGAATCTTCTTTTGACATAGGCATACATTTTATACCTACCAGAAAGTATCGTGTCTGTCACGGGGTAAGTTCTTGACCAATGAAGGAACCTCATTCCAGAATTTAAATAAAATATTTGAATTCACATTCAGGCGATTCAGGTCTAACATGTGTAAAAATTTTCACGTCTTTTAATTTTCAAAATTTCTGCCTCCATTCTAGCATTATTCAGTTGTTGGAAATAGATTTCCAATTTAATGGCATGCTCTTTTTCAACCAAGTTGATTTAAAACGAGCGTCATGTTTGCTCACCCTCCATCAACAGTTGGCAATGTTTTATCATACCCTGCACGTAGTCAGCATGGTCCTATGTATATAGGCTCATATATACATATAGGACCAAGTCGGCCTATATATGTATATAGTCGGTATATACATATAGTACTAATTAGAGGTTCTCTTATAACGAAATTAACTTGATTTCCCAAATAGTAACTTTTGTGAAATATGAAACATTATTAAATTGTGTTGTTGAGAAATACCTCTAACTCTTTTTAATTTCGATGTAGTGTTTCTGTTCACAACTTTCTGGAATGATCTGTTCTCAAAACTGGTGCAACGTCATGTCGTATAGGCCACTCGACTATTGGTATTTTATGACAATGGCGTAAAATCCAGTATTCGGCCGGAGTGGCTGAGCACTAGAAAAACATAGTCAAACCGAAACCAGTAGTCGGCTACCCTGACATCAATTATTATTGGCATGAAATAGGAATATTACTAGCTATTTTTTCTGTTCTAAAATCAATGAATTATAAAGATAATACAAAAAAATGTGCATACCTAATAGTTATTTAAAATCATTGAAATAATTACCATTTTCGAAAAAAAATTGGCCGCCATAGTACAGTTGTATACTTTTTCGAACTCAGCATCGAACGTGATTTTCCGTTTATCTAATAGCCTATCATACACGCACTTACGTAAATACGTAAATTGTGTAGACCAATAGTAGAAAGAACAAACTAAATAACTTTATATTAAAGACAAAGATTCAAAGATTAATATGACCGTTGTTTATGTCATAAATCTAAAAGCTGACTGCTGCCTACTAGTGCTCGTACCCTAAGTATAAGCAACCTATACAGGGTGTAAACGGACACTTCCAAAAAACGAAGACAGATGACGGTAAAAAGTTTTTTTCTCAAAAAAGTAATAATATTAAACAATAAAAAAAATTATATAACAATAAAAAACAGTTTCAAGTAGGTAGGTACCTAATTGTAATTGTAATCAACTACTCAAGGCTAATGTAGAATAAATAACACGAAAACAAAAACGATTAGAATAATTTTAAAAAGAAAATATATTGTCAGTGTTTTCGGAAGCGTTTACAGATACCCGTATAACATTATATGTATTTAAAGATGCCTACAAATACAAGCACAAAACTTAACCATAAAAATATGCAGACATATACCTGTAATATCCAGGCACAGATAATTGCTTCAAAAAAGATTGGAAAGCCCTTATTTTTTGTAGTACCTATTAATTTTAGTTTGGTTTTATGGATTTGTCAGTACAAACACTTTGATTAAACTTTTAAAATAAACTTTATTTGCACCGTCATATATTAATCATCAGACTTGTGTGTGTGGTGTGGTAATGGTAAATAAAATAATCACAAAACCGGTCCGGTGTTACCAGATTCCAAGCATTCTGGTGTTCCAGTTTTTGAATTCAAAGTATAGGAACTCTACAAAAAGTTACATCATAACTGAATTCATTCAAATTAAAATTCATTTTTGGAGGCCATTTATAATACAATATGATTCATTTTCAATGTTCAGACGTACAAAATAAAATAATATTTTTGAACGTAATGCCACTTGGCCAAGTGATGCTATATTCACAATGGTTTGTTCCTTTTGACATTTCGAGTTCGATGTAAAAGGACACGCGAACGTAGGCAAAATATCGCCAGCGTTCGCTTTCTTTTATCAGGTATTTAAATTTAGTTCTATTTATCTAGGACATTTTACAAGAAATAAAGTTTGTTTGAAGTGAACCTGCAATACTTGTTTCATAAATAGTTATTTGTCATGTATTAAAAGTTGAGGTTATATCGAAGTCTGTGCCACATATCGGACGATTGTTTTCGTATAATTTTAATTAATTATTGATAAATTTTGGTGCTAAAGTGTTATTTTTCGGTAAACAGTTATGTCTCGAAATAAACACCAAGAGGAGACCGACAAGCTTACGCGTATTGCTATCGTAAACGCGGATCGCTGCAAGCCGAAGAGATGTAGGCAAGAATGCAAGAAGAGTTGTCCCGTGGTGCGTATGGGCAAACTCTGCATAGAGGTCACGCCCAACGATAAGATCGCTACCATCTCCGAGGAACTCTGCATTGGATGCGGTATTTGTGTCAAGGTAAGACTATACAACTTCCAGAACGTGTTTCATAATTTTGCTGATTAATATAAACACAATTAATATCTTCCGTATTTGTCATAAGGGAGCATTATTTAGCAAATTATGAATGATACCAATATTATTCTAATAAGAAAACTCAGCCAGCTCATGATAATTTTGATGATGTTAGTCTGAAATGTCCTGAAATGACAAATAAGTAATTAAGAATATGCAGTCATTCTATAAATTCTGTTTAAAGTTAACATATGGTTCTAATAACAAACACCTTTTCAGAAATGCCCCTTTGATGCAATCACCATTATCAACATCCCATCCAACTTGGAGAAGCATACTACTCATAGATACTCCAAGAACTCATTCAAGCTCCATCGGCTGCCCATCCCCAGGCCTGGTGAAGTGCTGGGATTAGTTGGCCAAAACGGTATTGGCAAGTCCACTGCCCTGAAGATCCTTGCCGGAAAACAGAAGCCCAACTTGGGTCGTTTTGCTGTAAGATGTAATATTTTTTATAACAATTAGTCATTTTTTGTTTATAATTTGTAAAATCTACAGCACATCCAATTAATGAAAAATGTCCTTTCACTGTGTTGTCAAAGTCAAATTATGAGCATGAATGATTGGTTGTACTGATACACCTATTTATAATTGTAGAGTTTTATTTGGTCACTTTCACATGTTAATACTTTCAGTTATGCAATTCACCTGTTGTATCTCTTGTATCGGAAAGTACCAATGTTCCAGTAAAAAAAAAATAGCATCAGTATATCATTAACACAGTAACCCCAATTTACTGAATAAAGACAATATTGAACAGAATGCACAAGTAATAAAATTGCCAATACAACAATATTGGAAATCCCTCAATGATAGCATTCTTATTTAGTTTATCTGTTTGAAATGACTTGTGCTTTGTAAACAGATTTACTTATCTTTTGAACTCTTGTATTTATTTATGAGCACCAAGTGGTCTTTCACCACCATTTCATATATTATGTAACAGTTATTTAAAGAAACAAGTTGCATTTTAAGTAAAGTAAAAACGCGGGTTATTCACGTGAGTAACCCGCGTTTTTACTTTACTTATTCACGTGAATATACTGAGAAAAGCTCTACTAGTTTCGAACCACAGAGGGGTTCTTCCTCATGAGCAGCGTGCGCGGTCGCGGCGACGTTTTTTACTTGATTTAGTATGTCTCGCGATAGTTATTATAAAAACAAGTTGCATTTTGTCATGTTCTGAGACCACAACTTGCACCTTTAAAACAGGACCCTCCGGACTGGCAAGAGATTCTCTCTCACTTCCGTGGCTCTGAGCTGCAGAACTACTTCACGAAAATCCTCGAAGATGATTTGAAAGCCCTGATCAAGCCTCAATATGTGGACCAAATCCCTAAGGCTGTCAAGGGCACTGTCGGTCAACTCCTTGACAAAAAAGATGAAAGAAAAAACCAGACTGAAATTTGTAAAATGCTGGGTAAGTTATCAAACAGCAAATATATAAACTTTTAATGCAAAATGGGACAGAATTAGAATTTTCTATTTTCCTACATAGATCTATCGCACATCCGCGATCGTGAGATCGCCGCCCTGTCTGGTGGAGAGCTGCAGCGCTTTGCTTGCGCTATGGTGTGCATCCAGAATGGAGACATATTCATGTTTGATGAGCCTTCTTCTTACTTAGATGTCAAGCAGCGTCTTAACGCTGCCCGCACAATTCGATCACTCATCCACCCTGACAAGTAAGCAATTTTAACATTTCCTTAGACAATGGCATATTATATTCCTTGGACTAATAAAGAAACATAAACATACTCATAGGATTTTGTAATATTTGATAACAATTATTTTTCTTTCTGCAGGTTTATTATTGTGGTGGAGCACGACTTGTCAGTGCTAGACTATTTGTCTGACTTTATTTGCTGTCTGTATGGCGTACCCGGTGCTTACGGTGTTGTGACTATGCCTTTCTCTGTTAGGGAAGGTAAGGTTAAAAAATCTGTAGTTCTTGAGTTTAATCTAGTTGATGTGTACTAAAACATATTTATATTTTAGGTATTAATATATTCCTTGATGGATTTGTCCCCACTGAAAATATGAGATTCAGAACTGAATCGTTAGTATTTAAAGTCGCCGAGTCCGCCACTGAAGAAGAGGTATGATGAATTTTCTCTACTAGTGTTGTTAAACTAATTCATACTTTTGTAAATATTGTCTCTAAATTCTTGTAATTTTCAACAGATCAAACGAATGAACCATTATGAATACCCAGAGATGTCGAAATTGATGGGTGATTTCAGTTTGAAAGTACACCCTGGAGAATTCTCAGATTCTGAAATTTTAGTGTTGCTGGGTGAGAATGGTACTGGCAAAACTACATTTATTAGAATGTTGGCCGGCAATTTGGAACCTGATGAAGGTAAGATTCTAATTAGATCGTTCGTATATTTCCACCTATCAATTCTTTTTATTTTAGACGTGTATCCGAACCGCTTTATCAAAAAATAAATATTTGTAATGGCAACACTCAGTTATGAAATGTCAAATTTGTGAAAGTTGTCAAATTGTCAATAGGCTTCGGTTTTGTAGTAAAAAAATCTTAATTTTAACATATTTATGATTAATCCTAGTTTCACTGTGATATTTAACCGAAAAGAATCGTTTATTTTGAATCTCTATTAAAATTGCGTTATATAACAATGTAGACATCGTTAAAAAAATGAGGTTATAGGTGTATTACAATAAGTGTATTTTAATGAATTTAAACATATTTAAGTTTATAAAATGGCTAGAACTGAGTTATTTGATTTGTTTTTCCATCCTGTATTCCAAAAATGTTTAAAACACGCGGAATCCTGTGCGGCGAGCGAAGGTATGACATCGAGACACTTGTCTCTACTGTCTTGTCTGATCACGAAAGTCAATATTTGGACATCTTTGTCGACGTAATTATTTGTGTACAGATATCAATTAATTATCGTTTACATGTTAATTTATAGCCTACACAGTGGTTGTTGTTGCGTTTTTAATGTCCTTTGTTTGACTTACATTCTTTACACCATGTAATACATTTAAAAATGCAGGTGGATGTAAACAGAATTGTATTTTATTATAATATATAATATGGTGTAGATATTGTATTGTGCCCTTATAATATAAATGATAAGTTACAATGTTCCCATTTAAACAAAAATAAAGCTTAATTCTTGGTAGTTTTACAATCTGTTTATCATCAAACTAATAACATTTAGGTGATCTTATACTTAATAAAAGTTTCTTTGCTTCTGCAAAAAGGTTACAAGAACACTTTATATCTTAAATCTAAATAAATTTGGCATTTCCTGTCTGAAAGTAATGAATTTGTTACTAAAGTTCACTAAAAATGAATTCATGAAAGATATTTTCGTACTAATATAAATGCGATAGATTGTGTATTTACTCAATCGAGTCATAACAGCTAAAGGTATTGGGATGAAGTTTGAATAAGAATCGATTATGGTCTGGAATAACACATAGACTACTTTTTATCCCAAGAAATGTAGGTGAAGGCAGGGGCAGAAGCTAGTATTCTATAAAAAAAATTATAAGATGTTCCATGTCTTTCTGTTGAAATTGATACAGTTATCTCAAAACAGACCTATGTTGAAACTTATATACTTATTAACTCGTCGAGTACCGGTTTTATAGACACAATTAGAGAACAATAGGTCGCGGTCACCAGTGACCGCTTGGTGTTTGACAGATTAACTACTTTGACGCGGTTTCAAACACTGTGCTCCGCTCCTATTGATCGTAGTGTGAAGTTTTATATGAGCCTATAACCTTCCTCGATAAATGGGCTATCCAACACAAAAAGAATTATTCAAATCGGACCAGTACTTCCAGAGTTTAGCGCGTTCAAACACACTAACTCATCAGTTTTATATTATAGTATAAAATATAAGATTATCAAATACATTTATATGTTATGTCCAGGTTCGGGCTCACTACCTCAGCTGCACATTAGTTATAAGCCACAGAAGATATCGCCCAAGTCACAGGGTTTGGTGCGCAGCTTGCTGCATGACAAGATTAGGGATGCTTACGTACATCCACAGGTAAGATTGTATTGTGATATTTTGTATCTATTTTATTTTAGGCTTAATCAAAACATTTTTAACCTTAAACCCAATGTCACATTGATAGGGTTTCTTTTACAGAAGTCCTCTAATAGCCTTAATAATGTTAAATCTAAAGCTTGCTTGATAATAATTTAGGAATATAACAAAATCACAACCCTTTGAAACATTTTATTATATATTATTTATAGTTTTCTTATAAATAACAACATAATTATAACTTTATTATGAACTATCAATAAGAAACCTTGTTAACATTAATTTTTAAATATTCTACAAAATCACAAATCTGTTGTTATTATGTTCTACCATAATAGACCATTATTATGTTACCAAATGAAGGAACTGTAAAAAAAATTGTTTGAATCTTATAAGAAATTTTAACATTTATGTATTTTCTATTCCAGTTTATCACAGATGTGATGAAGCCAATGAAAATAGAAGAGATTATGGACCAGGAGGTGCAGAACCTGTCTGGTGGTGAGTTGCAGAGAGTGGCGCTGGTGCTCTGTCTTGGCAAGCCAGCCGACGTCTATCTAATTGACGAGCCCTCTGCCTATCTAGACTCTGAACAACGTTTGGTAGCTGCTAAAGTTATTAAAAGGTAAGTCTCCTAATGTTTTGTGGATTATTTATTGCTCTCGGGAAAGTAACCTTAAAGGCTTGGATTCATATCATAATTCTCAGAAAAGATTTGTTGTGATAAGGTTTATCATTTAATATAACAAATTACTCTAATTTAGTTGTCTAGATTAATAACCTATCCAGTGGTCCACTATATTAGCTTTAGAATAATTTATGTAGTGAAAATAATGTTCTGAGCCATTATAACTTCAAATTGTATTGTGTTGGATGTAAATGTTATCTTATAACCTATTCAATCCCCAAGTGACCGCTCTCCACTAACTCCATTATAGACCTTATTTCCTATGTTTAGAGACTACTTTCGTATAAATTTCGGTACTATATATTAATTAGAGCAATAGTTACTTGTTTGTTTCTCCAGTATCTCAAATCATAAAGTTAACATATTTTTTACAATTAATGTAATCGAACTATTTATATTTTACAGATTCATCCTCCACGCAAAGCGTACAGGCTTCGTAGTAGAGCACGATTTCATAATGGCGACCTACCTGGCGGACCGTGTGATCGTGTTTGAAGGCACTCCCTCGGCACATGCCACTGCGCACGCGCCGCAATCGCTACTCAACGGCATGAATCGATTCTTAGAATTACTCGGCATCACCTTCCGAAGGGATCCCAACAACTTCCGGCCGAGGATAAACAAACATTCTTCTGTTAAGGTTAGTCTCATCAGCCTTTAATGCTACTAGGTTTAAATCTACAGTGAATTTTTGGATTTAATTGAATTTGTGTTTTGTGTCGCCTATTTACTTTACGTATATTAGATGGTTATCTGCACGATTTCTACAAGGTATTTGTATTTTTCAATATTAAAATTGCACTAACAATATAAACAGATGATTTGCAATTTTTAGTGTGTTATAGATGACCCAACTAGATAACTAGAATTAGCGGTGTAGTGCCACTAATTCTAGTTCTGCTGATTAAGGACAATAATAATTTATACTTAATATTGTTTTCCTATTCTAAGAACAAATTTTTCCTTAAATGTTTACCCACTAATCTAGGTAAATAATATTAACAAAGTGTATGTTATTGTTACAGGACATTGAACAGAAACGAGCCGGCCAATATTTCTTCCTGGAAGACTAAGAGCTATAAACAATTGTATTTATATATATTGTATCTGTCACAACGGTGATGGCCGGCCACCTGTGTATTTCCAATTAAATGTATTACTGTAATAAATCATGTTTTATACAACTACACACAAACGTTATTTGTCAAATAGTTTATACTTTTACAAAGTTACTTTGACAGACAACTTTTTCAATAGCCTGTATCCTTCCACTTAAAACTGTCTGCAGGTATTCAATCTCATCAAAATTGGACAGCAGTTTAGACGACATGTGATAAAGTAATGTCGAGATACTCAAACGCCACTCAATTAAGTTGCGCTTAAATATAGTTCTGTCACGACAAATTCTTTGTAAAATCACAGAGATAGCACGATGTTTTATGTAAGTACAAATGACAGAGATGGCACGATATTTTATTTATGATACTTTCAGTATTCTGGCATAAGAAACTTAATTTCGTACATATTTATATAATGAGCAATATTTCAATGGATCGAAAAACAACTGAGGCAAGGGCCCACATTAGATACTGAACTATTTATTAGGAGAGGTATACAATTGTTTCCGTATTTTACGAGTTTTTAGGGCGACCTAATAACATGCAACCAAATAATATACCTTTTTTGTTGACGTGGGGAAACGTTTTGATAATAACTATCGTGAGACATACTAAATTAACTAAAAATCGCGGGTTACTCACGTGAATATACTGAGAAAAGCTCTACTAGTTTCGAACCACAGAGGGGTTCTTCCTCATGAGCAGCGTGCGCGGTCGCGGCGATATCGCGCAGCCTACTGGCCAGCGTTGGCGCTCGCCTCGGTGTTGCCATAGTATAAAGAACACAGTAGGTTATCTAAGGCCGCCCGCCGAGTTATTAGCCTACTCTTGCGTTGATCCCCAGGGTTGTCACTTTTACTTTTAGTTAATATTTTCGAACAAGCAGCACTTGATCTAAATTTATGAAATGGAAAGCATATTATGATTGAATATTTTATCAATTTATAAATTTAGTAAAAATAAAAAGCTTATAAAAAGATTATTAACTTCTTAAAATAAACTTTAGCTCTATACATAGTATTCAGAAAGTAAATTTGGGAATACATTTATATGGAAAAATGCGACACGGCCACGCTCTTAACAAATCAGATAAACTGTGAAATAAACAATATAATATCACATTTTCTTATAATATTTAAGTACAGTAGGTATTACATTTCTGGTTGAGTAGGAACTATGAAGAATGATAAGAGTAAGAATAAGTAAGTAGGTATCTCATCATCAAGTACCTACAAACTATATTATGCTAGGAAAATTGACTAGCTTACCTTTCCTGTTCAATAGGTAATCCGAACAGAGACAGTTCTAGAATCGATTAATTATTAAGACACCCAAACACACAGCAATACGTTCTTCTACGGTTATCAGACATTTTTTATTTCATTTAACAGTGCCGAAAAGTGATGCGCGCGCGAACCTCGTGCAGTGTTAGCCCTGCCTGGCGCACTGAGAAACGGGTCGAGATTTTGTTGAAGTGTGCGTGCGTCGACGCATAGATACTATGGCGCACACATATAAGCCGCGCGCGGAGCATTTGTATGAAGATAACCTACTCTGTTCTTTATACTATGGTGTTGCTACTTGCGCATCTAGCCCAACGCGCTCTCTGCCGGACACCACGAGCGCTTGCTTCCAACTCCGTCAGCGGCGCGCCGGACGATGTTGACGCGCACAGTACGTTAACCAGCGGCGGGAGTAATGGGTTCACCCTTCTGTGGTTCGAAACTAGTAGAGCTTTTCTCAGTATATTCACGTGAGTAGCCCACGATTTTTAGTTAACGTGGGGAAACCTTCAAAAAGCACCTAGCTTTTTGGGGAAGAAGGTTTTTAGCTCACTAAAATCTCCCCGGTGGCCATCATCCGCACCTGAAGGAGGCACAGGGTCCTCTTAGTAGACCAGCACCGGAGCCCCACGGTGCAACGCCTGTTACGGCACCTCCCTATGGAGACCTATGTAGGTATAAACCAAATAATAATACCTACTAAAGTACATCTAAACAAACTCTGTTCTACCATATGGAGTTTATTGCGAACACGTGCAAATAATTCGCTTTCGTATCGTATTCATGCACTCTATTTATCACCAGCTAATACATATTATCTGTTTTATTTTGGTACCTTAGTGTTCTCTAATTCCCGACTACCATGTGACCAACACTGATTGAACAATTCTAGACAATAATAGTACAATACAAAAGTACTATTGGAGTTTCCTCTTTCAGTAAATATAGACACGTGCCATCGCCGTAACATGATTATAGAAACATTAATACCTATACCTCGTATCTATTCTTTATAATTTCCTAGTTTCTGCTCGCGGCGTTTCCATGTTCCCGTGGAATAAGAAGTACCATGTGTGTTATTCTATCGTTCATACAAAAGTAGTCTCTAAACATTGGAAATAAGGTCTATAATGTAGTTAGTGGAGAGCGGTCACCGGTGAGGCTTTTTTTTTTAAGGGGGGAAAATCATCGAATGACTGCTCCCGCCTGGGTGAGGCGGAAGGGAGTGTCTAAAAACCACTTACTGACTAAAAACCACCCCGTTCCTTCTCCTGCACGTCGAGCCGGAGCCCCGGTTACCCGTTAGGTTCTCAGGGATACACGGGTTCATCCCGATCGCTCCAGCTATTTTGACGTGATTGTTTAACAAACAAACTTTTGCATCTATAATATATGAGGAAGTAACGGAAGTAAGATTAATCTGTCTACCCCTTACACCACTTCTAGTCATATTTGTACATGTCGCGGAGAACCTAACGGGTAACCGGGGCTCTGGCTCGACTTGAAGGAGAAAGAACGGGGTGGTTTTTAGTCAGTAAGAGTCTGACACTCCCTCCCGCCTCACCCAGGCGGGAGAAGACATTCGATGATTTTCCCCCTTAAAAAAAAGTCATTTGTACATAAGTTATTCCATGCGAAATACTAATTTGTTTAAACACCTTCACTCTATGACCCCGATGTAGTACGGTCATCATTTATAGGTACACCTAGTAATTACTACAATACACACAAGTTGACCTGATTTCCGTGTATTGACACCACACGATCCCATTCTTATTGATACAAAAAGAGGTAAAATAAAATCCCCAGTACACACTTCACAGCACCTACTGAGTCAAGTATGAAACACGCCCAGGTAACAGGACAAATAATAATTTAGTTAGTACCTATAGTATGTTTTTGTATCAAAGTTTATTCAACACTATTTATGCCTCTTATTGTCACTCATTAAAGATTAAAGACAACTACGGCACAGTAATAATATCAAACATTACCGTGAACAATTTTATTTTTAAACAAGGAGGTAGGTAATTCATAATCTAGAAAAGCATGCATCATGATATGAAGCGCATCTTCAGATTAAGTGTATAAGCAGTTAAGTATGATAAATCACTGATATCTGATAAACATAATAGGTACACTATTTTCAAGAATTCTGCTTTCCAAGGAAATATGCATCGAGTGCTGAAGAGATTGTTTACAAGACCTTACTCACTGATACTATTTAGATAAGTATTTCTGTAAAGTAAGATAGATACTCGATGTTTTTAACATAAAATTAACATAACATCACGCCTTTTTATCCCCGAAGGGGTAGGCAGAGGTGCACATTTCGGCACTTAATCCCACTGTACAATGTAACACCCACTTTTCACTATTTATGTTATGAGTCATTGCCATATACCAGGCACATTACCAAACTCCGTGCTACTACTGAGATTTAAAAATCCAGTAATACCTTGCCCGACCCGAGAATCGAAACCGATATCCCTTGCCCGGCATTCGCACTTGCGACCGCTCGGCCAACGAGGCAGTATTTTTATACTTAATTAACTCGTCGAGTACCGGTTTTATAGACACAATTAAAGAACAATAGGTCGTGGTCACCGGTGACCGCTTGGTGTTTGACAGTTTAATATAAATGCTGACCTCACTTTAGGGTTTCCTTTTCTTCTACGTCGTGGGTGCGTAGATATTGACTATGAGTAGGTAAATTGTGTTTAGGCAATACTTTCCAAGTAAGTAGGTACCGCGGAGTTCTCACATTTCACTACCGCAAATACCTATATATGTATATCATCATTATACGTAGGTATAGGTACTATAGTATAGTATACAGTATACTAGTAATGTAGTAACATTACTATCCAATATTGAGGTAAAAATTGAAAAAACTTACCCAAAACTTAATTTTCGCGGGCTAACCTGGAGCATTCACCTTACCAGCGGTGGCGAACCATTGGCACGCGTATATTTTGGGCGTATGCCTAGCAAAGCACTTGATGTACCTTAACTTCGCTGCTGGTACTGTGGTAAGTAGGTGGTTGTTGGATGTTTCTACAAACAACAAATTTCTTTGGAAAAATGGTATGTTGATACATAATGTTCGACATTCCTCCCCAAACTATTTTGTGAAGAATCCTAAACACTTAACCCCTCGAGCGTCCTTATGAGCACCCGGTGTATCATAAGAAAAAATGCTCCATGCTGCTTTCTCTTTTATAAAATCTATTATTAATGTTTTGTTTTTATTTTGACTGTATTTTTTATTTCTATTGTAATGATCCTTGTTTTCGTGTGTCAATGGTGAAACAAATGCATTTTCTTTCTTTCTTTCTCCAAATCTCACGTGTGCACCCGTTGGATCATAAGGAACGCGGACGCTCGACGGATTAATAAATAATTGTAACACAAACAAATGCTGTATGGTAAATGGTAAGTACATAAAAACGTAAATAATTTACTCAACCGAGGCCCTTCGTCTAGTAAGCGTAACTGCGTAAACTCTATTTAAAAATACTCCACTCATACATAGGTAAACTTTACTATGAATCAGAGTTCTTACAACTATGAGACGGTGATATAATATGATCATGAATAAGATCTATGACGACACAGTCATCAACGGAATAATAAAACAAATAGCGTTGCTTTGTAATGCCCCAATAAAATATCATCAAATCACTGACTCAGTTTTATTTTTATATTTATGACTGATTTATACTTATGCGAGTTAATTGAGGAAATTAACTACTGAAATAACAAATAATTGTATATTCATTAGGTACAGGAAGGCTTTATGAAAAGATATGAAATTTATTTTCGCGGTAACTTTATTTGTAAGTATCGTTTGGTCTGAAAACGAAATATTACCTATCGAGTTATATTTTCCAGTGGTCGGTATAAATAAAACCAATGACATCAGTTTGGTAAATAAGTAGGTATTTATAAATTTAAATTAAGTACATGGGTAACTTTTGATTACCTTTGAGTTAAACTACAGGTTACTAAATTTGTTTCTGGTATGTGATTACCTAGACCTGGTCATCACCGTGGCCACCGGGTAGGTTTTATAGTGAGGCAAAATTCCACACGCCTAGTCCTAGTCTTTTTCCTCAAAAGCTTTTGAAGGTCTAAGTTAGTTTACTCAATCTAAAAGGGATTAAGTCACCAACATTTCCTGCATTTTTAACTATGAGTCATCAAGTCCGCCTACACCTACCTAATGCAGTGACATACTTTAACATAAAACAAACATGTTTGATTGTATTCAATAAAATCTTTACTAATTATGAAGCTTCACAAATTGAAGCCGCTTTCAATGCTCAGTTACTTAGGTATCTACTTTCTTTCGAAAGCATCTGACTCGGGAACAAGATTGCAAACGAGCGAGATCACTAACCTATGCACGTCCGCGTGTTTCCTACATTTAAATATGTATGTGTATGTGCAAGAAGCCGGTAAATAATAGTACCCTAAGAAACGGATTTTACATTTAACTTTCTGGTTACTTTCAATAAAGGATTAGTATTAATTTTATTGCTTTTTATTTTGGTAATATCTTGGTTTAAAATCTATTGAATGTTCATAAGCAACACGGTTAGTCGTGTTAAAGGTTCCGGTTCTCGTCACCCCGCCTGTCCGCGGTAACGCAGCAGAAACGCGGCAGGCGCGGTGCGGTGTGGCGGCCGGCGTCGCTGTGGCGATGGCGCATGCATAGCGCGGCGAAGGGCGAATGGCCGCGCGGCGGTGATGTCATCGTTGTTCAGATTCAGAGGTGCTCACTCTCAGGATCATATTACCATAATTATTTTATTTATTTACGGTCAGTCTCAAAACTTTATCTATCCGACATATAATTTACTAACTTTCACCCGCGGCTTCGCTCGCATCACAAAAGGATAAACAGTAGCCTATGTGACATATACCAACACACACAGCGCCATCTATATCAATACCTACTTTTGTTTTCTCTTTTCTCTCGGGAATATCAATTTTTCCGGGATAAAAAGTACCCTATTATTTAATCCAGACTTCTAACTTTACGTCTGCAAAATTTCAAAGCAATCGGTTTGGTAGTTACGGCGTGAAAGTGGAACAAACAAACAAACTCACTTTCCGATTTATAATATAAGTAAGAAATAAGGATTGAAAGAAAATGTTATGTGGAAAAATGTGTTACGTACAAAAAATGTGCATCCTTACGACGATTAAAAGATGTAACATTATTTACCTAAATTATGTTATGCAAAAAAGCCACAAATAAATCAAAGCAAAATACAGTAGAAATTATCAGAATAAGGCAGGACTCACGGGGCAGATTTCTACTAAGTTTTTGCACAGCTAATAAACGCAAAGCAAAGGTGGATCGGCCAGTTCCTCGTCCACTCCAACCAGCTAATTAAGGCAAGCTAGAACTAAAGAACAGTGACTTTGGGTTTACTACTTCCATTCACCTGGTCTCAAGGTGCCTTATTATTATTATTATTAATTTTAAGCGGTTTTTATACAAGGGTTTACACCTATAATAATATACATAGTATAACTGTATAATCTTTTGACTGCCTCGATGGCCGAGTGGTCGCAAGTGCGACTGCCTAGAAAAGGGTCTCGGGTTCGATTCCTGGGTCGTGCAAAGTATTACTGGATTTTTAAAAAGAAATCTCAGTAATAGCACGGAGTCTGGAAATGTGCTCGGTATATGGCAATAGGCTCACCCTCTATTACATGGGACTCATAACATAAATAGTGAAAAGTGGGTGTTACTTCTGTGTGCACCTCTGCCTACCCTTTCGGGGATAAAATCTTTAGGTAATAATTCCCTACATTGATATCTAAGTATATAAAATCTCCCGATCGATTTTAATCATGGTGGCCAGTCTGTCAACTAGACTACACTACACAGTGTGTGCGCAAACAAGTGCACTCTCTGTTCCCTAACACTCTGAACCCTATGGGACAGTAGACTGACACGACCGAAGAGAGGTCAGGCGCAGAATCAACTGCTTTACAAGCTTTCCGAGCCACGGGGATGAAACACCACCGAACTTCCTGACTCCGGACTAATAATCTGATGCCTCGCTCCCTATTATAGGAAAAGAAATATTTATGTATATAAATACTATGTTATCAACCTATCTATCTACTCGTATATATCTTCGGTGGATTACTTAATCTTTATCTAAAATTGTTGAAAGAACGTTAATCAAAATATTTTTACCGATAAGGGAGTTATCGAACTTTAGTTTTTATTATTGAACAGTCCTTGTAACTGGTACATACGTAAGCAGGTTGTTTTCTTACCATTGTAAATAAATAACCGCGCGTTTACTAATTACGAACCAAAGGTTGGCAAGAGTGAGAGGCGAGAGGTTCGCTGTTCGCCTCTAACCTAACCTAACAAACCGGGTGAGTTTCGTTCCGTTCGGAGTTTCGGAGATCGTCCGACGTTCACCAGTTTTACCGTCGACGGGTTCTCGATCTGTTGTGAGTTGGGTGTGTCGCTGTATAAAAGTACGTACAATTTTAATGAATTTACCTATAAATAAGCTCTAAATACATCTTAGAAAGCTTCAAAGAACAGTGTAGTGATTATAAATAAGTATCATTCGCTGTTTCCAAGTGTATCTGATATTTACCGGCAAATGGATGTTTATTCAGTCGCTAAAAGCCGGGCCGGCCGTGCTGATAGTAAATGAGTTATATTTTTAGCGTATGTACCATGTAGGTACATTTCTAACATTATTTTTCTGTTCTTCAGGAATCTATTCAACATGAGTGGACAACAGTACTACCCCTACAAGGTGAGCCATCCACCTACTTACCTAACTACCTACATGGCTATAATACTATAGATTTCTCACGGGATGATGTCATCCTTCCACAAGGTTATCGATAGTTAGGCTCCACTGCGGTGCTAATAAAATTATGTGTTATATTTTGGTACCTCGGTGTGTATGATACAAAAGGTAAATAGTCTAGTTTAAATTTTCAAGGAATAAAAATGATATGTAGCGGAGAAAAACAAGAGTCATGATCCTGATAACTTCCAAAATTGTAGCAAGACAGAATAAATAAGACATCCATATAAAATATATATTTTTCTCTGTCCTCGAAACTGGTAAACTAATCCATTAAAATACCAATGCGTACAGGGAGTTTTATGTGTAGGGGAGCGGGCAATCACGCCCTAACCTCCCTATGACTAAGCCGAACCAAGTCAAGGCCAGACAACTTGGCGGCCTGCGGGGAGGAAATCTCCGAAAGATACTTACATAATGACGTAATTCTTGTCCCCTTTTAGCGATTCAATCATAATGTAGACACGGTGGACATTTATTACAATGTAGTTATGATGTGGGTAACTTACAATAAAATAAATAAGTATAGGTAGGTACCTACAAAACTTCGGCGCTACTAGTACAAAAAATACAACGCCCGGAAAATACTAGATCATAATAACGTCATCTTTAAAATCGAGACTTCATATGGGTTCTAGTTTGCAAATTACTCATCAGTGAATACCGCGAATGATAATGTTAAACTGCGGTTGCCGGTTGTGTACTTAGACTTTGAATTGAAAGCCGGTTCATAAATTTCGTTGCCTTGGGATGCGATCAGCCTTTTCTGTAAATGCGGTAACAAAACTTGTTACAACATCAATTCTTAAACAATGATCTAGTAGCCTGTTCGTATTATTTTCTATTGTTTAAGTATATTCAACGAGTAGTTTCCCACAAAACACTATTATTTTTTGTGGATTTCCGACATCATTCCAAACTTGAACTTGAAGATCTATCAAAAACATTAACATTTGTTTTGTGTCACAGTGCACCCCCACCGTGTACCCAGCGGAGCCCTTTGACCCCGCTGCGGATGCCGAGACCCTCCGTAAGGCCATGAAAGGCCTTGGAACAGATGAGAAGGCCATCATTGACGTGCTGTGCAGGCGAGGAATCGTCCAACGTTTGGAGATCGCTGAGACTTTCAAGACTAACTACGGCAAGGTAAGGAATGCCATTTTTTACTCCAAGGAATATCCTCATGGAGCCCCCTCGTCTAGGGAAGATGACCTGTCAATCTCTTACTTACTACGCACGAGAACCATGTTAGGAATAGCAAAATACTTACTTAATCTCTACGTTAATTTCAAGACGGAGATTCCAAACGTGACCTTCAAATCTTTTCGGTTGAACGTCCTAGTCAAGATTATCATCTGACCTTCACAAATCACGACATTAGGTATCTATGTACCTCCAGAGAAACAAAATAAAATAAAACAGTTTGCTTGTGAAAACAAGACGTATTTTGTTCACCTGCAGCTCTTTCGTGGCAATATGGTGTGATCTGATAACTTGTAAATAATATTTGCAGCTTCGAAACCTAGATCTTTGTTCGTTTGAATCTTAGATTCTAGAACTAGAAAAATTCTTGGTTCTGTTGCTAAATACCGCTAATAACAGTTATTTTTTCCTGAAGTGTACAATTAGCAACAATAAGACAAGTACCTACATAGGTAATCATTATTTAAAGTGACCTCCCTACTCCGTCTGTAGGATTTTGCAGATAAATATAATCAAACGGATTTTCTATCTACATGTTTTCTTATTAACTAATGAAATAATATTTACTTGGTTTTAAAATAGATAGGCCAACAATTTTATTTAAAAACGATAAATAAGTCGTTAAGTATTTCCAATCACTTATTTTTGTACATTATCTTACGCAACGCTATAAAAACAGACGCATAAATAAACAGACATAGAAACAAGAGTCTATGAATTATCTCACGTTTGATTACGTCATACCAAATTAGGAACGTTAATTATTATGATTTTGTATATTAGGCCTCATAAACAAAGGTTTGCGAGGTTTTGTACATGGTTTAATACTTGTGACCTCGACCTCTTTGCTCCCTTCCTTCCGAGTTGTATGATTCATTCGTTGATTCATGAAATCATGATCGTTATCACTGATTGACTTTAGAACCGTAATAATCATGTGTTTTTCTCGTTTCCCGGAGATCATGAATCATTCTGACAACCTCTTGCTTTAATGTTTTAGTAGACTTTAAACTGGGGTTTAAAAATCGTCCACTGAAACTATTTTGGTCTCCATTATTACCTAAATTCTTGAAGAATAAGACTGCATGCATAAAATTTATTACAAATCCCAGTTTCAAAGATTTTTGCGCTAAAATTACACAAATGGGAAATATTTCGAACAGACTAGATACAAAATGTGCATGATGAATGATGCTAATTTATGCTATCAACATTATTGTTTGCATTCACTATCTAATCACATGTTATGGCTGAATGTGTTACATATGTACCTATCTAGGCTCTAGTATAATGTTATCTGAAAATTTTAACATGTAATATTAGAGGATTACATTACCTCATTATAGCTTGGTACCTACATTTTAAACGAAATTTGGCTTTGGTTGGGTCAATTAGGAAGTTAAGTAGTTCTTTATATTGCCAGATGCATAAATCATTCTGCCAATTAACTCGTCGAGTACCGGTTTTATAGACACAATTAAAGAACAATAATAGGTCGCGGTCACCGGTGACCGCTTGGTGTTTGACAGTTTAATATTACATTTTGTTTATAGGTATGTTTACGGGTTTAAATTAATGGCTACTAATAATAACTAAATAATAGGAAAAGTTAATTATTAGGCATTGTTTAACACGTAAGTGTCCAACAGGAAAAACATTTCTGATTTTACTACTGGCAAGTTTCGTTGTGGGGGAATCCAACTAATATTGACAATAAGTGGGCGGAAAAACGTAAGACCTTTACTGGTACATATTTTCAACTGCATACTACCTACATTTAAAATATATTTGGGCACTGTGAAACTTGTAGTTGTAAAATACAGTCGTTTAATTATGCGCGGCTGACATAAAGATTACCTCATTATATGTGCAGTGCCCCTCTGACGTGAACACAACACGATTAGCACAGCGCACCTAGCGCACAACAAGTGACAATTATTCATTGTACAAATATTCAATTTTCCTGTTTTCTTGGCTTCCTATCAACGTTTAGCTCTTGGGTACGCAGTACTGAAGCATTTGAGATTTGATAAGCAATAAGTACTTTAGCTATGGAAGCTCATAGTTTCAACAGCGTGGAGTTTCAATTTGATATGCCTCTAACCTTCACGCTGCAGTCTTACTGCCACATAGTTGTACTTGTATGTAAATTGGCGGCAAATAATGCCCACAACCGATCATAGTGTTGTGACTGAGATTGTTATGTCGGCTCGGTAAGTGAAGGCTCTGATTGAATGATTACAGGGTCTTAGACACTTTACCGACTGGATACAATACACAGGGAGTTTGCTCACAACTATAAAAATGTTTTATTGCCAAATACTTAGTCACTACTACGTCGCGTCAGTGCATTCCATTTTTATGTTGTTTCATAATATCCGACCGTAAAATTACTAGGTAGCGTAAATTGGTGTTTCGAATATTATTATGATTGTTGTCTTGCCATACTCGCTTGGTCATTTTTATGGGCTCATTTCGATGTAGGTCGCTATTATACCTGCAGTCAATTAGAGACAAATAGACCGTGGTACACAAAGTTGTATCAACGCATAAACAAAAATACTTTCGAAACTTAAAATACAATCGTACAAAACCACAAAAATATCATTTAATAATAATTTTTGTGTGGGAAACTTTAGTTTTATATGCAAGGGTGAACACAGTATTCAAAGATGATTTTCTTTTAGGACTTAATCAGTGAGCTGAAGAGCGAGCTGACTGGCAACTTGGAGAATGTGATCGTGGCCTTGATGACCCCCCTTCCCCACTACTACGCCAAGGAACTGCATGACGCTGTCTCCGGACTCGGCACTGATGAGGAGGCCATCATTGAGATCCTCTGCACCCTCTCCAACTACGGAATCCGTACCATCTCGGCGTTCTACGAACAGCGTAAGTTAACCCTTTGAGTACTGTCATTATAGACACAATTAAAGAACAATAGGTTGCGTCACCGTGTCCTTGCGGTGTGTAACAGTTTAATATCTAGTTGCAACTATCTAAAATTCTTGATTTTATTTCTATCGGAGTTTTTATGTGTGACAGATGAAATTAGGAGAGTTTCACAAACAGACGAATAACCTAATTTTAAGTAATGAGAGCCCCTGATGGCCATTTGCAGCACCAGTGGAGTTACAGCTTGCCGACATTTTGAGCTTCGGGTAACCTCTTATAACATAAGCAAGCGTTGTTTCATGTTGGTTTTATATGAGACCATAGTATCGTAACGTCTAAAAAATGGGATCTATAAGTAACGATATAGGCAAGCCCACATGTACACACATATGTTGGTGTTGGTAGACCGTAGACATGAGAATGCATTAAAATAAAATCCAAATTTGTATTTTCTCATCTTAGAGCCCACATTGTTATAGCTCTTACGTTGTCTATAGATAGACTGTTAGTTCACTTCAAAGGAATTCCATCGCTCTGAATAAGATAAAAAGGCAAATGAAACATTATGCTGTTCGTGGTAATCGGACCAACAAAATCACAAAAAGACAAAACACCTAATTTTGAGACTATATCCAACAGACGAAAAATAAAAAGGATGTTTAAATTCTTCGAAATATGTTTTTATGACATCTCGACGGCTTTAACACGTGTTTTGCCCGAAATAAATAGTGATGCCATTTTGCATTCAAATAATAGACCATTATGTAGGCACTCATTATAATATGAAATAATTCGTAAAAATGAGTGATTCATCAAATTAATTAAATGAATTACATACATCACAATGTATATAAATATATATAAAATCAGTACGTATTAACGTTACTGATTTTATAAAAATAGTTACTTCTATCATCGGTGGTTGTCCTCATTTGCAATTTAAATAGGAATATTTTATAAGGACACTTCCATGGGCCGGCCTAGCATGCAAAGGAATATTTGCTTACGTCACCATTCATGACAATACGACCTGGCTGCCAACGAACACACTGGCACACAACAAAAAATATTTAATGAAACAAACGTTGCGTTGTTCAATTAATTATTTATTATAGGCGCAGTGATAAACGCTGTTAGATTAAAAGTCCACTAATTATTGAAATACAAAATAAGTATTAGAACAAATTTTGATATGGATTTAATTAATACAATGTGTTTAACACATGAAAATAACAAGAGGAGATTTTTTGTATCTTTTCTATTACACTGTGCATTTTTATGTTATAATATTCATTAAGATTGTTAATTATTACATAATTATTTTCTCGCAGTGTACAACAAGAGCTTGGAATCAGACCTGAAGGGCGACACATCCGGCCACTTCAAGAGGCTCTGTGTGTCTCTATGCATGGCCAACCGTGATGAGAACCAGGGAGTAGACGAAGGTGCCGCCAAGGCTGACGCGGAGGCGCTGGCGTCTGCCGGTGAAGGCCAGTGGGGCACTGACGAGTCTGTCTTCAACTCCATCCTGATCACACGCTCTTACCAACAACTCAGACAGGTAAGACACAAAAACATATCTACTATTAGAAAAACAATGACTTCAAAATCAATTCAACGCGAGTGTTGAGTGACTCCATAAATAATTTGATGATCTCAAAGTCAATGTCTACGTGAGTCAAATTTTGATCAAACTCACTTACACGGACGTCTCTGCTCTTTCGTCGATCGATATTTAATCAAGAGGCTTTTGGGCTTGTTTTCCATTATAGAAAAATCTATCTACACGTTGACGTAGGTAATAAATTAGGTAAGGCTATTTAGGTTACCAGAACACGCTTGACACGGTCATTCTGTGGCCATATTGAGAGCCAGGGTGGGCCTAATTACGCATAGCCAAACCCGGTTAGGTATGTGTAGATACGCAATATCGACATCAATTCGTGAAAGGGTAAAAGAGTCGGGCTTTTGAGATAATAAGGCCATAGAGTTAAAACCTGGCTTAGTGCTTCCTGCATTAAAGAAATACATAATTGAAAAGTGCAGTTCTATTGATTTTTAATTCGTTTGGTTTCTTTTCTTATAGCGTGTTAGTCACACCTGAATAAATTTGCAAAAAATGCAATTATAACGCTAGTTTTACGCTAAGCTGTCTGAAATGGAAATTTTACCCAGAAACAATTTGCATTACACAACAGTTTTGGTTCTAAGTATGCATTATTTATTCATGCATTTAAGTGTAGCAGTCTGGCACAGCTTGAGAACAATGCTTTTGTTATAGGTATAGATCGAGAGAAGTTGAATTTTAAACACTTACATTTAGCGCGAGACTAGCGATATTTGTGTATCTATCGATTATTCCGTTGTTGACATCATAGTAGCTATAGTTACACGAGGTTCTGAATTCCAGACGACTGATAGTGATTTATAATCCAGAAACATCCTTGAATGTCTGGTTTTAAAATGTGAGATTGGAAAACATCTATTTCTTTTTGCATTAGCTCGATTCTGAGCACTAATATAGTTACATACAGTTCTAGATAGACATTTATGTATTTGATTACTTTATGAGTCATTAAATCTAGAAAGGCCGATACAATTGAGCCGGCAGTTAGCAATCACATTCATCAATTACTCCAGTCTAGTCTGACGCACGATTCTAATTGTCAAATTACTTGCAGATCTTCGCTGAATACGAGGGATTGACTGGCAAGGACATCGAAGAAACCATCAAGAAGGAATTCTCTGGAAGCATCGAAAAGGGCATGCTTGCTATCGGTGAGTAGTCTACGAACGACAATTTTTTTTATACTTTGTTACCCTGAATGAAAGGGAATAACACTTGTGAAACATTAGACATATTTTAAAACAACATGTCAACAATTTAACGGACAACAACCGTAACGGAGATTTCCTTCCTCAATCCCTTTGAAGAAACTTCTACAATTTGAAACTAGTCCACATAATGGCTGGCATTACCAAAAGATTCTATTAGTCACCTCCATACAATAGAGAAGGTCATGTAACAGGAAACTAGTCGCGCGGCCTCGTCCAATCATTCAACTTTTTGTTCAAACACGGAATTATGTTCCACACTCGTAACGTTCTCATCAAATCCAATTAACTTGACACTTCTGAACAAAAGTATCAGTTACAATCTGACCTTATGTCAACATGCAGTTTTGTTTTAGACGCTTGTAGTTAGTGGAAGGAAAACTAATACCTTTTTATTTAGAACGGTAGATTTAAATTCATGGAACATTCTTGATATTTTTTCTTTCATAAAATTTTGATTTTTGTAAGGGAGCGTCTAACTCCTGACAGAGACGAATAATTTGAGCCCCTTCAGAGATTTGGAGACCTTATTGTGAATCGCTTAGGAAAACAAGAGAAATGTTATTGAAACTGCTAAAATTTTCTAGTAAAATGCGTGAAGAGCAAAGTGGGCTTTTTCGCTGAACGCCTGTACTACTCGATGAAGGGACTGGGAACCAACGACAAGACCCTTATCAGAATTGTCGTGAGCCGCTCTGAGATTGACCTTGGAGACATCAAACAGGCCTTCCTTGAAAAATATGGCAAACCCCTCGAAGCTGGATTGCTGTGAGTCACTTACCCTATTCATTAAAATTCGCTTACATTTGGGAACCATTCATTCCGTCAATTACCTGAATTCATATGCAAATTGGGATTTTATGGTTTATCACAGCATCCATTTGCTTCAATTGACTTTAATTGGTGTCTCTAAAGAACACATTTTTCAGACATTATGACCTATCAAATCAGACATAGCTATTAACCCAAGTTAATTGAAGCTCATGCCCCAAAATGTTTCTTTTATTTTGTAAATTATTGTTAGATTCAATGTTACTTTCTTTCCAATTTATTTTTATTTATGTTTTATATGTATAGTGGCTATATTACCAACCCCATATAACATTTCAAAATCTAACATTCAATGAAATAAAAGACGATCCATAGTAACCTCTCATTACTTATGATCAACGTTACAATTCATATCTATGACCACAAAACAATCGCACCACACCCGACCCCATCGTCCATATATTGTTATCTTCATTCACTATTTATTATATACACTGACTATCTGTGTATAGTATCAAATACCTATCTACTTGTATACTAACAGCACGAGTTTTTGTGGTATTTCTCAATTTTATGAAACTGACCCAATATTTATGATTTGTGAAAGAATTTGTCACGTCTAAGCTTAACTAAAATACTTTACAATGCGCATGTGGGGTGTCTAACGTGTAGAGCCACTCGAGTAATGTAGCCAAATGCTCTGCCGATTACTATATTCGATTTCATCTAATAACTAAAAATACATTTAACAGATTATACAGATCTATTTATAGTATCTATGTCAAAGAGATTTCAACATTATTTATTTCGTTTTATTTTTAGTGTGAGTTTTTTTTCGATTTGTGTTTCCGTGTATCTGCTAACAATGTGTTCATCAAAGGTGATAAAACAATTGACTAAAATATATGTCCTGATTATGATAGACTTGTAGAATAGTGGCCCATTTTGGTTACAGGATGACACTTCTGGAGATTACAAGAAGGCTCTGTTGACTCTTGTTGAATAGATTGAGAATGTGGTCACAAGGTGTCTCCGGGCAACGATTGCGTTAACCACCTATCTCGTTACTATAAGTTTGTCTGTCAATTTGTTAGGTTACGAAGTGATCTGTTAGGGTACGGGCACACTGACGACTCTCCCGCCCGATGCTCAATGCACTACATCTCTCGAGGGCCGTGTACTTCATCCCAGCGGTCAGTTGAGTCTTCAGCGTGCCATATCTTTAGGTTATCCTCGTCAGGAATAAGTTTTATTAAAATGATCTGTATATTTTGCTTCCTATTAGCCTTACTCACGTTCATATAATATCCTTTGCACTGTAGCTAACTGCTTCGTGTCGTGTGCGTGCATGAGGGTAGCGGTACACGTTGGCTCGTGTCCCTGTGTCTCAGTTTTACAAGTAGTTGTTACAATTTTTCAGGAGGAATTAGGAGGACATCTCGGTGATCTCCTGTCGACACTGTGCTATTAAAGCTTCACCAATCCTAACATATAACACTCAGTATTACGAGCGTCTTGTCATGTGTGTGATGCTGCAGTGTGAAGTTATATTCTAATCATAATATTAAGCGTGTCAGCACACACCGAGTACAATCACCTATGTTGCATTTTAAAGACATTTATTTTTATATTACAAAGGAACGTGTTAGTATCGTTGTCTGATAACTATGTTTATACTTAGGTATAATATTATATTATTTTACTTTACTTGCTGTGCCCTTTTTTGTCTCTCCTAACACCTTAATCTAACCAGTGAACAACGAACATTTCTTCAACAAATATAATTAAACACAAAACTCGAATAAATTGTTCCTGGGTTAGATCTGCACAAGCTGTCAGACGATGCATTTTATACATTTATAAGATTTATTTTTGTGATAACATTTCGAATATTTTTTGTGAATAAAAAATCATAAGTATGGGCCAGTTTCTCTTTATATTTAGTGCAAACTGCGCAAGCGGTAGATTCATTTCGGTATTCTTTGCAGGATGACCTAACGGGTGACTTCAGGAATGTGCTAGTCACACTTTGTGCTTAATCCTGCAGAATGAATTATATTTTTTTATTAAAGATATTATTATTTTTATACACGTAACTGTTTGGCTTGGCATGCTATTTTGTCGAAGTAATCGAACTAAGCTAACGTTACAAAGTACAATGTAATAATTTGCAGGACGATACGAAAGGCGACTACAAACGCGTGTTACTCACTCTAGTGTCGTAACTCGTAGAGAACGCATAATACAACGCGATGAGATCCTACCGGGTACTTCTGTAAACTTGCTACTGCCTTTACATTGTATAACTGTTGAGATGTTTTAGAAATTGAAGCTTGAATATTTTGTGAAAATGATATATTTATTGGTGCTCTAGTTTTGTTTACAATATACACAATATTTACATTAATTATTAATTAAACTACTATGTATGTTGGTGCATGTTTCATTCAGCGTCCCTTATTCCTTCTTCGGTGATCTGGAAAACAAAACTATGAAAGGTAAGTAATAATTACAATTTACATTATTAACAGCACAACCTTAACACCAGGAAAATTATATTATCTACCTACCTGTTTTAAAATATCCACTCAATATTATTTGCAAAAACGTGTCAAAACTGCAGCTGGCTTTGAGTATATTTACGTTCTCGATTTTTAACAAGCATCGCTAATATTGTCATGGAATAGTCGTGTACCTATAACTTATGTACAGTACACACATCGCTACATACAAAATTATTGCGTTACTGAGTTGCGTTATTAACTAACATACAGACAACGCAAAGCGGAATAATTTGCTACCGGTCGTAGAAAGCAATGAATATTGGCTAATAGATATCTCGGGCAGTATGGAATGGCACTAAGGTAGGATATCCCGAAATGTTTATGGTAAAGGCATCCAAAACTTCGATCTTTATACGCGTATAAAGCCACGAACAAAAACTAGTAAGATATAAGATCGTGGAGAATTTGGCACGATGTCAAGTTGCGTCGGTCATTACTAGGAAAGCCCCTGTATACTGGCGGCAGTCCAACACGCTTATCAATGATAGCAAATATTGATTCGAGCTTTTGGTAGGTACTTACGACATTTGGGTCAAATATCTTCTTTTATTATGTAGGTGCTATATTCTATCAGTGGCTTCTGACGTCTTTGTCTCGTAATAAGGTATTTTGATTTTTATCTATATAGGTACCTACATACATAAAATTTAATCCCTTTTTCCCTTGGCCACGGCATCACGCATGAATGGCTGGACCGATTTCACTAATTCTTTTTTTGTTGTATTTGTTATTATTAGAAGGTTTTTATGTAAGAAAAAAAAGATATTTCTTGATTTTAGGGCTGTACGAAGTTCGCCGGGTCTAGTGCTCATATAAAATCTTTGAAAGATTACCTGGTCTTATACCTTTATCCGAAAAGAACATTTGAGATAGAAACATCACTCATTAGCAGGCTAGACACCTACGTTAAACGCAATTTGACCATTTTAAAATATTCAAAAATAGCCAGTAGCACTTCATTTAACACGTTCGAGGACGCTACCACTTGAGTCGGGTTTTCAAAATGACACAGTACATGTCTATACAAAATTATACGACGTATCAGTACGTAGTGTCCCATGAAGAAATATCGTTTTAAACATATCATGACACAACCGTTTTATCACGTCAACGTGTATATGCATCTAGGTAAAGATCCGCCTCGTTGGAGATGTCGGAATCATCAAACATGCTTATCTTGTGTCTTATTTTGCGCTTATATCCATCTAAAAACACACAATAACCCATTAAACATCAATCACGCTGTAAAATCATTAATTTGCATTAAAGTAATGTACACAGTGACACAGCCGCGCTGAATGTAGGAGCGCGGGACATATAAACACGTTGTGCGTATGTGAATACCGTAACCGCACACTATCAACGACACCTATTTTAAATAGTTCTAAACTTACCCTACGTGACAGTACAGAGTTGGGTATTTTATATGTTGTGACACAAGATACATTTAAAAGGATTTTTACTTGAACTTTCATCGGAAATGAACGTTCTGCCGTATAATTTAAATGTTATTTGAACGTCATCGTACGTTGTGCGATATTAAAATCTCGAACGATGACGTATAATCTCGTTTTGTCCTCGAACGTGTTAAAATATGACAATAGACAATTCCGCAAATTAGACTAATAGCCGAAAAAAATTATTTGTGTGATGTAACAACGCGTTCATGATTTCAGCCAAAAGGAATGCGAGAATGCAAACGTTTTATCTTACACTGACTGCCTAAATTAAAACATGTCTGGTTCCGTAGGCTGATATTTTAAATATTTATTATGTAGAATATGAATATAAAGAAAGTAAGCATGATCGAGGCCACCCAAACATTGAGTTTGTCGACAGAATGAAAGCACGTGCAGAGCTTGCAAAATGAAATGTGTTTATAATGAAACGTTGGAAACATATATAAATTAATTTTATCGTATTTTCAAACGTTATTCGATTCTCTGGTTAATGTTGAAGCGTACATTTTCACGGTTGGACTAATTTTTAGGTACCTACCTATACATAGATAAGGTGGGTATTTAGACATTGTGTTGTTATTATGTTTTTCGGCTTAAGAAACTAGCCGAGTTCCTCGTCAAATAGTTAATTGAGTAAGCCGAAAACATAATACCTAATTAATTTAGAATGTCTCATAAAAGTTCAAATATTTTGTGTTGTTGTTTAACGTCAATTTATTTTTCTATTTTTAGGTACACGTGCATGTAATCTATATAAATAATATTTGACTGTAGGATGAAAAATATATGTACCTACCTGCAAAGTTCACCAAATGACTGTGTGTGTGAATTTGTATGTTAATCTAGTCTAGTCAGTGGCGGAACTACAGGGTAGCGAGTCGTCAAAATGCCATGGGCCCCCAGCTCGACGGGGCCCAAAGGTTCAGAGGTTTTCATCTGAACTTAGGTTTTTTATTTAAAACGGCGGGGCGGGGCCCATCCGATGAATTTGTCACCCCGAACGATATAGTTACGTCACTGAGTCTAGATATAAAAAAGTTTAAGTACTTTATTCTCACCTTAAATCTAGCGACAGTGCTCGGCGCAACATTACTCTTGAGCAATAAGGCGAGTCTTTCAGTGGAGTCCTGTGTTACTTGTGGGGTGCTAAGCAGGAGACGGACGTTGCAGCGATGCGCCCACGCATCTCCCAGTGAACCAACCACAGCACCGCCTGATAAACCCACTCTGGTGCTCATCTCGTTTGATAACACTACCTAAGTAACAAGTAGTAAGTAAAAATATTAACCTATTGAGTGTATCCGAGACAGTGGTATTTGAGACACAGTAGAAAATACATTTTCACTTTCGACTGCCTCATGACTGCCTCATTAGCCGAGTGGTCGCGTCGCAAGTGCGACTGCCGGGCAAGCACACCCCCTATTACATGGGACTCATAATATAAAATAGTAAAAATGGGTGTAACATTGTACAGTGGCATTAAGTGCCATAATGTACACCTTTGCCTACCGCTTCTGGGATAAAAGGCATAAAGTTACGTTTGTTTGAACGGGCTAATCTCTGGAAGTGCTGGGTCAATTTGAGACATTCTTAATGTGTTGTGTCCATTTATCGAGGAAGGCTATAAAACAGAGATCAGCAGAGCGAGTGAAGAGTGCAGAAGTAGCTAGTAACTAATAATAGCAAATATTTAGTATTGCAAATCAAACTTACAGCTATTTGATGTTGTACTGCAATCCTTTGTAGTTCTGCCATCTGTCTGAACAACAGTCCAGTTCTTTGTTTTGTTGATATGCCATCTTTGAAAGGGTACGCTATTGAATCTATTGCAATCAATTTTACCTGTAAGAAAAGTAATTTTTATGAGTTAACAATCCCCAAGCTAAATCCACAGTCACCGCTCTCCACTAATTCCATTATAGACCTTATTTCCGATGTTTAGAGACTACTTTGGCTACTAATTTTTGATTTATGGTACGATATATCAACATATTAAAGGATAAACAAGACACAGTAATAATCGGCACTGCCTATTGCCATCTATAATATAAGAGAAGATCGACTGTATCAGCGGTCTTTTGGAGTAGAGAGGTTTCTGATAACTGTTTTTTTTATTAATAATGAGTTGTTGTATGGCCACTATCTCGCCTGTATCCAATCCTTTTATCCAAGTATGCTTATGAAGTCAGATTGAGATATCATGATTAATTTACTGACCAAGGGGCTAAATTTTATTTATAAATCAGGCAAAACAATTCACAAAGAGTTTTACCTTAATTGTGTCTATAAATACGGTACTCGACGAGTTAAAATGGAGTCAATAGACAGGAATGGCGTGAATAGATGTTACAATATTTTCTCAACATTTATTACCCTTCGTCTGAATCTATTCAGAGCCTGTTTTATCATATTGCATTTTTAATTATTTTTTATTCTACAAACTTATATACTTTTATTTTTAACATAATTTGAGAGTTATAGGTAACAAAAAACTAATAACAAACAAAAAGTCAAATCTAAAAAGCAAAAAATAACTATTATTCGTACTGATAGGTTACCCCCCCACTGATAGGTAAGAAGTCGGTGCCATAAGTTCAATACAAAATTATTCATTAAAACCTTAATAGGTACCTTATTCACAATTTTGTGGACATTAAGTTGTATCATTATGATATGAGCTTATGGCACAGACTTCTAACCTATCAGTGGGGGGGTAACCTATCAGTACGAATAATAGTTATTTTTTGCTTTTTAGATTTGACTTTTTGTTTGTTATTAGTTTTTGGTTTTTGGTTTTTTGAAGTCGGTTTTTTAAACGCAGTTTTTATTTTATTATTTTATCATTTTCAATGTAAAGCTACATATACCCGTTTTGTTACTTATATATAGGTGCAAAGTTCTAATCAATACAAATTATACAAGCCCAAACACAAGGTAGTTACAGTATACCGTTGAGGAGTTCCCTTAACAATTACACTTCTTCATCATCAGACCCTTAATGACAGCCCCACTCTATTTAGGTGTAAAGTCCTCATCAATACAAATTAATCAAGCCCAAACACAAGATAGTTACTGTATACCGTTGAGGAATTCCCTTACCAATTACACTTCTTCATCATCAGACCCTTAATGACGACCCCACTGTATCTAGGTGTAAAGTCCTCATCAATACAAATTAATCAAGCCCAAACACAAGGTAGTTAATATAAACCGCTGAGGAGTTCCCTCGACTGTCTGTCGACTCCATCATCAGGTCGACTCCAAACCCATATGAAATTGTAGTGTTTAAAAATTGTAATTGAAAAACATAATAGACGCATTACTCCTCCATAGAATTTTCGAAAGTTCCCCTCGGTTTCCCTAGGATCCCATCATCAGATCCTGACTTCATGGAAATGGGACCATCTCGGGAGTATACCCTTTCAAACAAAACAAAAATTTTCGAAATCGGTCCACAAACGGCGGAGTACTGCGCGAACAAACAAAAAAAAAAAAAAAAAAAAAAACAATCAGCCGAACATAGTACCTCCTCCTTTTTTTGAAGTCGGTAAAAAGTAATAACAAATGACTTACATTAGGATGTGCTTCTATAAACTTAGGCAGTCTATACATGAATGCGCAGAACTTTTCAAGACCAAATGCATTGACATAGTGCAGTTTACTCAAAGCTTCATCTTCAGTCATTTGTAATGGCTCACCCAGTATGGTCTGACATCTTAGCAGACTTGCACTTAGGATTTCTAAAAGAAATTAAACACAATTCTAGGGTTAAAAGAATACAGCAATTTTGTTTTTTCATAAAATATTGTGCTAAGTACGTAAAGTGAAATTATTTTTCGACTTTCTATTTTATTAAATATATTTTGTATTAAAATTACATTAGGTACCTACAGTAAAATAGTTATAAGCAACACGAAAAGTTATTTTATTACCTCTAAACCTAGTTATTGTAAAGTTAGTATTTGTGTCTATGTACAGTGCTTCTGCATTCAATCCACCAAGCTGCTTTGGTATTTGTACTGATGCACACAGTTGCAGGCTGTAAAGAAAGACATTGCGATCAGGTTGCTCACTTAACATAATAATAGGAACGAAGTCCTGCATTGGTAATGTAAATACTAATTTGATACTAACCACAGTTGTGTTTTACCAGATCCTGGTAAGCCTAGCAGCTCTGTAATACAGCCAAGCTGAAACCCATTAGTTCCTAAGATATTGTCCAAGCTTTGGCTGAAAGACGCAACGGCAGGGAGGCTTGTTTCTTTCTAAAATAATGTTAAATAAATAAACAAATGTACATAGTGAACATACTTTTTTCGTAACTTTGTATTAACTAATCACCTGCCATAATTCTGTCGTATTAGATATCTTGAATGCTTTCATATTGTATTGTAGTATTATCCAGAAACAAAATAAACTTCTAAAAAATTTTAACAATTTATTACATTTCGACTTTATTTTAACTTTTTCAAAACAAAACTTTTCCCTCCATTGCAAATAATATTTATATAAATGTCAATGTCACCATCACCGAAACATAGATGCGACAAATTCTTAAGATTGTCGAGAATACTGTCCACAGTTTATGTTCGGTGCTTAATTAATCATCTTTAATCTGTGTATGTCATATTCACTGAACGTCAACCATACCAAATGTCAATTGTTACATGTCAAATTGACGTTTATTTTGTAAGCAAGTTCGTTTCAGCTTATAGAGATTTAGAGAAAATAAACAATATATTAATTAGTGGGTAGATACAAAAAAATCTCGATAAAAATGAATCACAATCAAATGAATATGCATGTGCCTATGAACACCGTTGGTGGGACCCCGAATGTAGGGATGCAAATGCCTGTACCAGGCACAATAATGCAGCAGCAATCACCTCAGCAAATGCAACAGCCTGCGATGCCCCAGCAGCCACAACAGCAGGACAAAATGGATAATATATCAAGAGTTAAAACTCTCATGGGATCACTCCGGGAATCAATACCCGTAAGTTCATGAAAAACATGTCCTAATATACATCTGACTTCCCCAATAATTCAGCTCCCTGAGTGCCTGACTGACATTTTGTCTGTTCTTTTCAGATGACTCTGAAGTCTGCGGCGCAGATTTTACACCAGAATCATAATGTAGATTCAAATTCTCAGTGAGTACTGTCAAAATGTAAATAAAGCCAGATATATCTTCATACAAAGCTTTCATCATCTCATGTGTAACTTGTATAAGTACTACTACTATGAATAGCATTATTATTTTTTCATTATTATTTTTTTTAAGGTGTAAATATTTTAGTTTTAATTATTTATTTCAATAAGAAGTGTAATATTAAGAAGTGTAATAATTTATTTCAATATTCTATTAAAAAATTAATAGCATATATATTTGCATATTAAATTATGATAAAAGAACTCACAACAATGTTAAACTTTTACACCTACTATTGTGTCTGTGAATGACCCTAAGGTTGACTGTTAGGGAATGCTACTAGGCATTAAGTCTACCATTGTATATTGTACAAAAAGTGTAAATAAATAATTGGTTCTACACTTGGCAGAGCAATTTTCTGATTTTTCCACTTTTATACTTTTCAGAAAGGGCATTGACAACCCAGTGCCAAGATTTGACAAGAACTTAGAAGAATTCTTCTCGATTTGTGATCAAATGGAGCTGCATCTGGTATGTAGTATTTTATTTACTTTATTTTAGTATAAGGAGCATTAATTGAACTTATATGTAGGTCTTTATTAATGTTTCACTATGTGGTGCAATATATTGCTGGACTATGTTTAGCTGTGGACAGAAACTGACCAATTATGATCATATAATATAATATCGGTATCTACAGACTAATAAATGTTATGTACGAATATGATAATAATAGTCACTAGAGCAGCTATAGCCAAATGCCATTTACTGCTTGTCTACTTGTAGAATAGAAAACTAAATTATATCGAGGGGTAACGGACTATTTGGTTTAAGCGACATTTTGGGCGATATTGAGTTATTATATTTTATATTCGACGGAGAAAAATTCGCTGATTCCGAATATATATATAACTCAATATCAACCAAAATGTTGCTTAAACCAAATAGTCCGTTACCCCTCGATATGGACAAATACATAACATCACACCTTTTATCCCCGAAGGGGTAGGCAGAGGTGCACATTATGCCACTGCACAATGTAACACCCACTTTTCACTATTTATGTTATGAGTCCCATGTAATAGGGGGTGAGCCTATTGCCATATACCGGGCACAATGGGGATGATGACAGGGTATGAAAATTAAAAATATAATTAGTCCGTAAGTTAGGTAATGAAAAAATATTAGACACGTATTTTTTTATTTTGTCGTATAATAAAACAATACTTAGATAAAACGAATCAAAGTTTAGGAGTGGGGACTAAAACGTCATTCCTTAGTATAAAATGTACTGAGAAGTGACGTCACGCGACATTTCAAATCAATATATCTTCGAAACTATTCGTTTCTGTGAGAAAATAAAAAATACGTGTCTAATGTTTTTAAATAATCTATCTGACGGACATTAAAATAAAAATTAGTCGTCTACCCCATTCCAGACTCCGTGCTACTACTGAGAATTTTTTAAAAACCCAGTAATACTTTGCCTGACCCAGGAATCGAACCCGAGACCCCTTGCCCGGCAGTCGCACTTGTGACCTCTCGGCCACCGAGGCAGTAAATTATATGGAATTGACGTAAATTTTGACACTTGTCAGTGTCTTCCCCCATACATTTAGTTTTCTACTCTCTCTGTAGACATGTGCTACACAGGCACAGGACTGTCAGTACATTTTTGTGGCGACATATGTCACATATCACATGACTTAGCTCACTCACACAGACCAATAGACCTCACATAAGTCCTACATTGAACATGAGATTTTTACATATGAATGAACATGGGTAGAAAATCCCAATGAACAACTGGACAGAAAGCCCGCCAGGCATGATCACCTCACCTGGTAGGAGGATCTTCCTTTTCCGATCTTAGGGAACTCTACTCACTGTTCCCTAAACTTATATTTAATAGCGGTTCTATGTAACAATATTTGATAAGAAGATAGAGTCAAATAATACTAATAATACTAACTACTAATACCTACTAAATAGTAATTTAAATGTAGAAGATCCAACAGTCAAACTATTTACATATAGTTTTGTTGGACATGGCGTTAGATTATAAGGCATACCATGTACCTTTATTATTAATAAATAAATAATAATAATAAATAAAATACAAAATCGTTAATATGAAATCATAAAAAGAAACACAATTATTTACAGCCTAGGAAAAAGTAACTTCTTGAACAGATGTTTTTCTTTCACTAAAAATAATAAAAAAAATTCTATGGATACCATAATTAGATGAAATGTAATAAACAACAGTCAGTAATTAAGTATAATAATAATGAATTAATTATTTGAAAAGGGTTTTCAACTATTTTTATATTACCGTAACTTCAAGAAGTTCTTCTTTGGGGTTCTTCAAGAAGGGAGTGAATAGGTTTTTCAAGGGTCGATAAGGCGCATGTAGTGTTCCAAGTGTTGCAAGCGTACATAGGCCATGATAACTACTTACTATCAGGTGGGCCGTATGCCTTTTTGCCACCGCGCACCGTCGTGATATAAAAAAAACTTTTAGTAGCTATTCTACTAAATCTTAAATTTTGTAGCTAACCCCTTTTTCTAGTCGCGAAGAACCTAACGGGTTACCAGGGCTCCGGTTCGACGTGCAGTAGAAGGAACGGGGTGGTTTTTAGTCAGTAAGAGTCTGACACTCCCTCCCGCCTCTCTCAGGCGGGAACTCGATGATTTTCCCCCCTTAAAATAAAACCCTTTTTCTAATTTACTGCTGGCAACTTTTTTCAATGCTACGTACTATTGTTACTTCTTTTTGACCTTATTTAACATTACAAAAAAAGGAAACAAAATCAAGAAAATTCTATCAGAATCTAGGAATAAACTAGCTGTTACAATGTTTGCAAGTTAAAGTAAATATTGTGTATCTATGTCCAACAATTAACTTCTTGACCTGGCAACCATTGGATCGGCCAGTCTAATCACTGTTAGTATTAATTCCTTATCAGTGATGACTTTGTGTGACTCCCTATTGGACGTCAACACCATTGCGTACACAGGGTAGCTGTTGCTAACAACTATTTTTGCACAACCAGCTGTGAAAAAGAAAAATAAAAGATTAGGCTTTTTTATTTATTTTAGTTTTGTAAATAATGTTTTAGTTAAATGAAAAGTTTAATAAGTATCAGTACTATCAGTAATGGCTTGGAAGGATGGCGCTTCTTCTGGGTATAGCAAATAATTTATGAAACTTTACCTTAAATACTCTTTATTTGTGTAAAAATATGTATGTATGTATGTATCTATGTTTAGCTGTCTTTACAGCCCACATTATTAATAAATTGCCCAATTACCTCGCCCTCTCCCTTTCCCCAATCCCTGAATCCCCAACAATCCTCAAATTCCTAATTCCAAATGGCCGGTAACGCACTTGTAACATGTCCATGGGCGACACCGATTGCTTACTATCAGGTGATCCGTCTGCTAGTTTACAGGCTTAACCCACAAAAAAAAATTATGCCGTAAATAAAATTGGAATTAAATAAAAAATTATATTTCTCACAAATAGAATTAAATAGATAGTGCAAAAATATTTCCATTCAACTAAGTTTAGAGCTGGTACATACATACGTATACTGTAGGGATTTGTATACTAAATCAACAACCAAAGTGATTTCAATGTGATGATCATACGATCGTGATACATTGTAAACAGAGACATTATCACTTGATGTCCATGATGTTTACATTCATACATATCCACTGTTAAATGGAGTAGGATGTTAAATGGTACATAGTTTCAGGGTGTTATTGTAACCTAGGTCAGTCATTCAGTGAAATAATAATAATAATGTATTATCTGATGTTCTGACGTTTTTATAAGTAAAGAGATTAATGCTAAGTGTATTTTTTCATTGTTGAAGAAACAGGAGTCATAGGTGCGTTTTATTCTGCTTGCGAACAACACTCTGTGGGTGTTGGTACGTATAGGCAGTCATAAACTGTGCTTAATTAAACCTTTGTAAAATTCTTTGTGTCGTGGTATGTCCAATATGTCTTACAAGTGCGTTACGGGCTTTTTGGGAATAGGAGTTTGAGGATCGTTGGGGATACAGGGATTGGGGAGATTGGGGAAGGGGAGGGTATTTGGGCCTCCGGTAACCTCACTCACACGACGAAACACAACGCAAGCGTTGCTTCACGTCGGTTTTCTGTGAGGCCGTGGTATCACTCCGGTCGAGCCGGCCCATTCATGCCGAAGCATGGCATCACGTTAATAAATTCTCCATCATCATTAACTGAAAGACGTCCATTGCTGAAAAAAGGCTTCCTTAGTTCTTCCCGTTGATCGACAGCTCACCACATGCATCTAATAACTCCCGGCGACTCTGACAATATCGTCGGCCCACTTAGTAGGAGGCCTGCCTACAAAACTATCTGGAATTGCTTTCACAAGTTACTAATGATTTATTTTTTTTATTTCTAGCGGACTGCAATAACGTGCATTCAACAAGCGCAGTCGGCAGCGCACTACCTACCTATGACCGTCATGCCGTCAAGATTGGACACTGGACCGGCCACCACGGTAAGGATACGGTTTAACTATCATGATGTTAAAAAAATTGATGTTTTTAAGTGGTAAGCGAACAGTTGGATCACTTAATTGCCTAATGGTCCACTAAGATGTGCATGTAGCCTTTTGCAATAAAATAAAATAAGATAATGGTAAGCAATCGGCATCACCCATGGACATCCGTAACATGAAACATACCTGACTACCAAGCCTGTGAGGGATAGGGATTTGAGAAAGGGATGAGTGAGCTCCAGTAACCTCAGCCACAACGAAACACGACGCAAGTGTTGCTTCACGCGGATTTTTGGTGAAGCCGTCCGTGGTGTCATTCCGATCAGTTAAAGACAATCGAAATAAAGTCAATGACTTTTCAACAGCTGTCATTTAGTTTCAGAGTATATTCCCTCTGTCCCGCACCCTAAAGTGTTTTAAAAGATCTGAAACTCTAACACTCAGTGTTTTATAATAGCCCTCCATTGTTTTTATAAAACCTGTTAACTCCTTTTTTAAAGTAAAAGCCACAAAATGCTACCTACCACGGTCCTTGCTCACATTCACATCTCATTTACGCATCTGGCCATAAAACGATAGATGAGAAGTACTTCACTGCTATCTTATAAACAAAAGATGATAATTATGATATAAGTTTATGCATTAGACCACCCACATCATTATAATTTTATTGACTGTGTGTGTGTGTACAAAACTTAAAACAATCCAATCCATAATTAAAATACCTACACAAATACCTAAATAATATCTATTTTGTCTTAAAAAATGACTTGTAATAACTTATTTCTTCAGAAATGCACGTTGAACTCACATCCTACTGTATTATTTTTTTATTGCATCGTACTCTCTCTACACGCATCGCTCAGATGTTGACCTTTGTTTTGTACAAATAATAAATTGCATAAAGAATAAACAGGACGTGCAGATCCTTGAAGTCTCGCTTTCTTGCAATCAACAGACAAGGGGTAAATTCCACGCTTCAATAATTATGTTGTTGAGTTGTATAACCTTCGCCCTTTTGCCGATAATTTCATCGGTAACTTTAGAAGGACATTCTATGAATATTCGAATGTTTCCGCGAATTCATATTGCAACAGAATCTGTTAATATGTCTATAGACATGATTAGATTCTTACTTCTCTATCTTTGAAAGACTGATCAAATAAAGGCATAGAAATAGTTGAATTTACTAATAAATTCTATGATTCCGAGATGATAATGAGAACTATGGCGTGTTGCTCAACAAAGAATTTGCTGATTTGCTTTGACAATAGTGTGATTGGTCAAACAAGATCTAATAATATTAATAGCGACATCTACTGAGCGCAAAACTATATATCCTCATAAGAAAACCGACTTTTTATTATATTAAACTTACTCATTATTTTCATATAATCTTTATTTATTTATTCATATTGCACAATGTACTTATAATAAGAAGTATTACATACCACTAATTCAGTACATACCCTGTTAGGGCGCAGCAATTTAAAACGTTACAAAATTTATTTATAACATTTATAACTATTTATTTATATTATAACTAATTATTTATAACAAAATACAAAACACTATTTCTTAGAGCTATAACTATACTTATATGTTAACTATTCTATAGTTTTTATTAAATCTTTATTTAAGGGGTTTAATCACTTAGTGATAATGCCGCCCTGTGACTTACAATGAACATATCTAAAATCTAAATATACTACCTCTCTATAATTGTATATATTAAAATTAAAAACTATACCAATTTACCCATTTACCGTTTCTATTGCAGGACACATCACTCAGTTACCCCCAGTACTTGAACACGGTACGGCTGCAAATCACATATGCTAAGGACATACACGACACGCTCGTGGCAGCCGCACAGAACATCTCGCCCACTGAATAACTGTATTAGTACGTAAGAATAATTATTATAATTTAAGTAATAGTAATAAATTAATATCGATTTAATTTTGGTTTTATTGTAACGTATGAGCTTCTAGTTTTGAAATTTTATGGTTTAGAGTAAAAATTTTGCAGTTAAAAGTCAAAAACAGTGGTATCATATCAATTTAGGTGGTCATTAGACCCGACAGACATTTTAGGTTAAGGTCAATCGGTAGGAGCTGGCTTTAAAAAAACAATATCGCATAACTGCACTGATAAACAAGTGACAATAACACAATAGATTAAGGTCTCGTTCATACTCTTACTATAGGTGGATTTGTCGGAAACCGGCTCCACGACTATAGTGTTTTCCTTAGAGCCTTTTACAATGACTGCACGGTTGGTGCGGTGGCTGGGCAACCGGCTGCCGTGCAACGTGTCGCGGGTTCGATTCCCGCACGGAACAACACTTTGTGTGATTCACAAATTGTTGTTTCGGGTCTGGGTGTCTTTGTGTATGTGAACTTGTATGTTTGTAAACGCACCCACGACACAGGAGAAAATCCTAGTGTGGGGCAACGTTCAAAAAAAATAATGCTGGACACGGTATTTTCGCAGATTTACACGTAATATGAACGAAAATGCATTTTTTTTTCATTTCTTAAAAGTCCTATAGAAATTCGTTAGCCAGTTCTATAGTTTTTATCTATATATATATAATTCAAAGGTGATTGACTGACTGACTGACTGACATAGTGATCTATCAACGCACAGCCCAAACCGCTGGATAGATTGGGCTAAAATTTGGAATACAGATAGATGTTATGACGTAGGCATCCGCTAAGAAAGGATTTTGATAATTTCCACCCCCAAGGGGGTAAAAAAGGGGATGAAAGTTTGTATGAAACTTTGTCAGTTTAAAACCGATCGGGTTGAAATTTGGCATGCAGATAGATGTTATGACGTAGGCATCCGCTAAGAAAGGATTTTGATAATTTCCACCCCCAAGGGGGTAAAAAAGGGGATGAAAGTTTGTATGAAACTTTGTCAGTTTTAAACCGATCGGGTTGAAATTTGGCATGCAGATAGATGTTATGACGTAAGCATCCGCTGTGAAAGGATTTTGATAATTTCCACCCCAAGGGGGTAAAATAGGGGATGAAAGTTTGTATGAGGCTTTGTCAGTTTTAAACCGATCGGGTTGAAATTTGGAATACAGATAGATGTTATGACGTAGGCATCCGCTAAGAAAGGATTTTGATAATTTCCACCCCCAAGGGGGTAAAAAGGGGCTGAAAGTTTGTATGAAACTTTGTCAGTTTAAAACCGATCGGGTTGAAATTTGGCATGCAGATAGATGTTATGACGTAAGCATCCGCTGTGAAAGGATTTTGATAATTTCCACCCCAAGGGGGTAAAATAGGGGATGAAAGTTTGTATGAGACTTTGTCAGTTTTAAACCGATCGGGTTGAAATTTGGCATGCAGATAGATGTTATGACGTAGGCATCCGCTATGAAAGGATTTTGATAATTTCCACCCCCAAGGGGTAAAATAGGGGATGAAAGTTTGTATGGGACTTTGTCAGTTTTAAACCGATCGGGTTGAAATTTGGCATGCAGATAGATGTTATGACGTAGTAATCCGCTGTGAAAGGATTTTGATAATTTCTACCCCCAAGGGGGTAAAATAGGGATGAAAGTTTGTATGAGACTTTGTCAGTTTTAAGTCGATCGGATTGAAATTTGACATGCAGATAGATGTTATCATATAAGCATCCGCTAAGAAAGGATTTTGATCATTTCCACCCCTAAGGGGGTAAAATAGGGGGTGAAGTTTATATGAAGCTTTGTCAGTTTTACACAGATCGGGTTGAAATTCGGCGTGCAGATGGATATTATGACGTAAACGTCCCTTTAGAAAGGTTTTTGAACATTCTTACCCCAAAGTATGATACTTTGCCAGTTTCAAATTGATCGGGCTGAGACTTTGCATGCATAAAGTTACTATGACATAGGTATCTCCTTAGAAAGGATTTTGATAGATTCCATCCCTAAGGGGATAAAATAGGGAATGAGAGTTTGTATAAATCTTCTTAGCCATTGAATTTAGAATCATTGAATCTTTTTGAATTACATTCGGTAAAACGATGATTTGGGACCTGGGTAACGTTTGATAGTTTTTATCACAGATGTCCCACGGGAACGGGAACTATGCGTCAATGCCCCAGGACTCTCTAACTCTTAACCACTGAACTTATTTTAGAGAGATTCGGTACAACAATAGTCGATAGAATAGTTTTTATTACTCAAACCTTACGTGATCGGGCACTGTAGGTACTGGTAAGATCCCTGCGGGATTATTTATTTATTGAAACTACGATAAATCATTTCAATATAGGTAAATCTTACTTGGGCACTGAATTGATTCTGATTAATTCTGTCAGAAGTCATTAATCTACGCGGACGAAGTCGCGGGCAACAGCTAGTTCTTACATAAAGGTTGAACTGTTGACTGCCTCGTTGGCCGATTGGTCGCAAGTGTGACTGCCGGGCAAGGGGTCTCGGGTTTGATTCCCGAGTCGGTCATAATATTACCTACTGGGTGTAAAACATTCTTACGGAATGTGTGTCTGAAATTGTGCCTGGTATATGGCAATAAGCTCACCCCTAATTACATGGGACTCAACATAAATAGTGAAAAGTGGCTGTTACATTGTCCAGTGGCATTAAGTACCGTATTGTGCACCCCTGCCTATCTCTTCGAGGATAAAAGGCGTGATGTTATGTATTTATAAGGGTTGAACAGAAATGTTTTTGTTTTGGTACACTTTCCAAGACTTCTAATCGTGACCGGTGACACGGTGTCATATTAATTAAACCCCAGTTATCTCCTTATGTAACTTATTTGTAAACAACAAGATATTTAAAGGTGATACAAGGTATTTAGCTCGGTAACTGATAGACAATAATTCGATTATGTCGCATGTCGATTAAATATATTGACTGCACGGTTGGCGTGGTGGTTGGGCAACTGACTGCCGCGCAACGTGTCGCAGTTTCGATTCCCGCACGGAACAATTCTTTGTGTGATCCACAGATTGTTGTTCCGGGTCTGGGTGTCATTTGTATATGCACTTGTATGTTTGTAAATGCACCCACGACACAGGAGAAATTACTAGTGTAGGACTACATATTAAAAAAAAACTGTTAGTAGATTTGGTAGTGAAATATTTCTAATGCTTCCTTAAGTATAGGATAATTGATAGAAAAAGCAAATGGTGATAAATGGGTGGTACAATGTAACCTTTCCTTTTACCTTTCAAGGAATAAAAAATAGTTATGTTACGCTATATTATGACAGTCTACAATTGATTTTCGTAACCTTTGCAAATCACCTTAAACTTAGATTACACTAGCTGTTGCCCGCGACTTCGTCCGCGTAGATTAATGACTTCTGACAGAATTAATCAGAATCAATTCAGTGCCCAAGTAAGATTTACCTATATTGAAATGATTTATCGTAGTTTCAATAAATAAATAATCCCGCAGGGATCTTACCAGTACCTACAGTGCCCGATCACGTAAGGTTTGAGTAATAAAAACTATTCTATCGACTATTGTTGTACCGAATCTCTCTAAAATAAGTTCAGTGGTTAAGAGTTAGAGAGTCCTGGGGCATTGACGCATAGTTCCCGTTCCCGTGGGACATCTGTGATAAAAACTATCAAACGTTACCCAGGTCCCAAATCATCGTTTTACCGAATGTAATTCAAAAAGATTCAATGATTCTAAATTCAATGGCTAAGAAGATTTATACAAACTCTCATTCCCTATTTTATCCCCTTAGGGATGGAATCTATCAAAATCCTTTCTAAGGAGATACCTATGTCATAGTAACTTTATGCATGCAAAGTCTCAGCCCGATCAATTTGAAACTGGCAAAGTATCATACTTTGGGGTAAGAATGTTCAAAAACCTTTCTAAAGGGACGTTTACGTCATAATATCCATCTGCACGCCGAATTTCAACCCGATCTGTGTAAAACTGACAAAGCTTCATATAAACTTTCACCCCCTATTTTACCCCCTTAGGGGTGGAAATGATCAAAATCCTTTCTTAGCGGATGCTTATATGATAACATCTATCTGCATGTCAAATTTCAATCCGATCGACTTAAAACTGACAAAGTCTCATACAAACTTTCATCCCCTATTTTACCCCCTTGGGGGTAGAAATTATCAAAATCCTTTCACAGCGGATTACTACGTCATAACATCTATCTGCATGCCAAATTTCAACCCGATCGGTTTAAAACTGACAAAGTCCCATACAAACTTTCATCCCCTATTTTACCCCCTTGGGGGTGGAAATTATCAAAATCCTTTCATAGCGGATGCCTACGTCATAACATCTATCTGCATGCCAAATTTCAACCCGATCGGTTTAAAACTGACAAAGTCTCATACAAACTTTCATCCCCTATTTTACCCCCTTGGGGGTGGAAATTATCAAAATCCTTTCACAGCGGATGCTTACGTCATAACATCTATCTGCATGCCAAATTTCAACCCGATCGGTTTTAAACTGACAAAGTTTCATACAAACTTTCAGCCCCTTTTTTACCCCCTTGGGGGTGGAAATTATCAAAATCCTTTCTTAGCGGATGCCTACGTCATAACATCTATCTGTATTCCAAATTTCAACCCGATCGGTTTAAAACTGACAAAGCCTCATACAAACTTTCATCCCCTATTTTACCCCCTTGGGGGTGGAAATTATCAAAATCCTTTCACAGCGGATGCTTACGTCATAACATCTATCTGCATGCCAAATTTCAACCCGATCGGTTTAAAACTGACAAAGTTTCATACAAACTTTCATCCCCTTTTTTACCCCCTTGGGGGTGGAAATTATCAAAATCCTTTCTTAGCGGATGCCTACGTCATAACATCTATCTGCATGCCAAATTTCAACCCGATCGGTTTTAAACTGACAAAGTTTCATACAAACTTTCATCC